AAGTTATGACCTTTCAAAGTTTTCCAAAATCTAAATTATAAGGTAGGTACCTTCTTACTAAAACGATGAAATTTCAAATTTTTTTTCGTTGAGATTTTGTTTCCTAATGGTCAATTAACATCCCCCAAACTCCATATACTAAATTATTCTCAGATTTGAAGCCGAAATCTATGAAAAAAGGCACTCAGAAAAATTGAAAAATCGATAAATCACCCCAAATTGCTTAACACGATTTTATCTCAGGAACTATAAGTGTAAATGAGCTGAAATTTTCAGGGATTGTAGTCCTTAGGAAAGGATAAAATTCAGTGAAAGTTTCAGCTTTTTATCTATAATAGAAAAAAAGTTATGACCTTTCAAAATTTTCCAAAATCTAAATTATAAGGTAGGTACCTTCTTACTAAAACGATGAAATTTCAAATTTTTTTTCGTTGAGATTTTGTTTCCTAATGGTCAATTAACATCCCCCAAACTCCATATACTAAATTATTCTCAGATTTGAAGCCGAAATCTATGAAAAAAGGCACTCAGAAAAATTGAAAAATCGATAAATCACCCCAAATTGCTTAACACGATTTTATCTCAGGAACTATAAGTGTAAATGAGCTGAAATTTTCAGGGATTGTAGTCCTTAGGAAAGGATAAAATTCAGTGAAAGTTTCAGCTTTCTATCTATAATAGAAAAAAAGTTATGACCTTTCAAAATTTTCCAAAATCTAAATCATAAGGTAGGTACCTTCTTACTAAAACGATGAAATTTCAAATTTTTTTTCGTTGAGATTTTGTTTCCTAATGGTCAATTAACATCCCCCAAACTCCATACACTAAATTATTCTCAGATTTGAAGCCGAAATCTATGAAAAAAGGCACTCAGAAAAATTGAAAAATCGATAAATCACCCCAAATTGCTTAACACGATTTTATCTCAGGAACTATAAGTGTAAATGAGCTGAAATTTTCAGGGATTGTAGTCCTTAGGAAAGGATAAAATTCAGTGAAAGTTTCAGCTTTCTATCTATAATAGAAAAAAAGTTATGACCTTTCAAAGTTTTCCAAAATCTAAATTATAAGGTAGGTACCTTCTTACTAAAACGATGAAATTTCAAATTTTTTTTCGTTGAGATTTTGTTTCCTAATGGTCAATTAACATCCCCCAAACTCCATATACTAAATTATTCTCAGATTTGAAGCCGAAATCTATGAAAAAAGGCACTCAGAAAAATTGAAAAATCGATAAATCACCCCAAATTGCTTAACACGATTTTATCTCAGGAACTATAAGTGTAAATGAGCTGAAATTTTCAGGGATTGTAGTCCTTAGGAAAGGATAAAATTCAGTGAAAGTTTCAGCTTTTTATCTATAATAGAAAAAAAGTTATGACCTTTCAAAATTTTCCAAAATCTAAATTATAAGGTAGGTACCTTCTTACTAAAACGATGAAATTTCAAATTTTTTTTCGTTGAGATTTTGTGTCCTAATGGTCAATCAACTCACCCTTAACTCCATACACTAAATTATTCTCAGATTTGAAGCCGAAATCTATGAAAAAAGGCACTCAGAAAAATTGAAAAATCGATAAATCACCCCAAATTGCTTAACACGATTTTATCTCAGGAACTATAAGTGTAAATGAGCTGAAATTTTCAGGGATTGTATTCCTTCGGAAGGGATAAAATTCAGTGAAAGTTTCAGCTTTCTATCTATAATAGAAAAAAAGTTATGACCTTTCAAAATTTTCCAAAATCTAAATCATAAGGTAGGTACCTTCTTACTAAAACGATGAAATTTCAAATTTTTTTTCGTTGAGATTTTGTGTCCTAATGGTCAATCAACTCACCCTTAACTCCATACACTAAATTATTCTCAGATTTGAAGCCGAAATCTATGAAAAAAGGCACTCAGAAAAATTGAAAAATCGATAAATCACCCCAAATTGCTTAACACGATTTTATCTCAGGAACTATAAGTGTAAATGAGCTGAAATTTTCAGGGATTGTAGTCCTTAGGAAAGGATAAAATTCAGTGAAAGTTTCAGCTTTTTATCTATAATAGAAAAAAAGTTATGACCTTTCAAAATTTTCCAAAATCTAAATTATAAGGTAGGTACCTTCTTACTAAAACGATGAAATTTCAAATTTTTTTTCGTTGAGATTTTGTTTCCTAATGGTCAATTAACATCCCCCAAACTCCATATACTAAATTATTCTCAGATTTGAAGCCGAAATCTATGAAAAAAGGCACTCAGAAAAATTGAAAAATCGATAAATCACCCCAAATTGCTTAACACGATTTTATCTCAGGAACTATAAGTGTAAATGAGCTGAAATTTTCAGGGATTGTAGTCCTTAGGAAAGGATAAAATTCAGTGAAAGTTTCAGCTTTTTATCTATAATAGAAAAAAAGTTATGACCTTTCAAAATTTTCCAAAATCTAAATTATAAGGTAGGTACCTTCTTACTAAAACGATGAAATTTCAAATTTTTTTTCGTTGAGATTTTGTTTCCTAATGGTCAATTAACATCCCCCAAACTCCATATACTAAATTATTCTCAGATTTGAAGCCGAAATCTATGAAAAAAGGCACTCAGAAAAATTGAAAAATCGATAAATCACCCCAAATTGCTTAACACGATTTTATCTCAGGAACTATAAGTGTAAATGAGCTGAAATTTTCAGGGATTGTAGTCCTTAGGAAAGGATAAAATTCAGTGAAAGTTTCAGCTTTTTATCTATAATAGAAAAAAAGTTATGACCTTTCAAAATTTTCCAAAATCTAAATTATAAGGTAGGTACCTTCTTACTAAAACGATGAAATTTCAAATTTTTTTTCGTTGAGATTTTGTGTCCTAATGGTCAATCAACTCACCCTTAACTCCATACACTAAATTATTCTCAGATTTGAAGCCGAAATCTATGAAAAAGGGCACTCAGAAAAATTGAAAAATCGATAAATCACCCCAAATTGCTTAACACGATTTTATCTCAGAAATAATAAGTGTAAATGAGCTGAAATTTTCAGGGATTGTAGTCCTTAGGAAGGGATAAAATTCAGTGAAAGTTTCAGCTTTCTATCTATAATAGAAAAAAAGTTATGACCTTTCAAAATTTTCCAAAATCTAAATCATAAGGTAGGTACCTTCTTACTAAAACGATGAAATTTCAAATTTTTTTCCGTTGAGATTTTGTGTCCTAATGGTCAATTAACATCCCCCAAACTCCATATACTAAATTATTCTCAGATTTGAAGCCGAAATCTATGAAAAAAGGCACTCAGAAAAATTGAAAAATCGATAAATCACCCCAAATTGCTTAACACGATTTTATCTCAGGAACTATAAGTGTAAATGAGCTGAAATTTTCAGGGATTGTAGTCCTTAGGAAAGGATAAAATTCAGTGAAAGTTTCAGCTTTCTATCTATAATAGAAAAAAAGTTATGACCTTTCAAAATTTTCCAAAATCTAAATCATAAGGTAGGTACCTTCTTACTAAAACGATGAAATTTCAAATTTTTTTTCGTTGAGATTTTGTTTCCTAATGGTCAATTAACATCCCCCAAACTCCATACACTAAATTATTCTCAGATTTGAAGCCGAAATCTATGAAAAAAGGCACTCAGAAAAATTGAAAAATCGATAAATCACCCCAAATTGCTTAACACGATTTTATCTCAGGAACTATAAGTGTAAATGAGCTGAAATTTTCAGGGATTGTAGTCCTTAGGAAAGGATAAAATTCAGTGAAAGTTTCAGCTTTCTATCTATAATAGAAAAAAAGTTATGACCTTTCAAAGTTTTCCAAAATCTAAATTATAAGGTAGGTACCTTCTTACTAAAACGATGAAATTTCAAATTTTTTTTCGTTGAGATTTTGTGTCCTAATGGTCAATTAACATCCCCCAAACTCCATATACTAAATTATTCTCAGATTTGAAGCCGAAATCTATGAAAAAAGGCACTCAGAAAAATTGAAAAATCGATAAATCACCCCAAATTGCTTAACACGATTTTATCTCAGGAACTATAAGTGTAAATGAGCTGAAATTTTCAGGGATTGTAGTCCTTAGGAAAGGATAAAATTCAGTGAAAGTTTCAGCTTTTTATCTATAATAGAAAAAAAGTTATGACCTTTCAAAATTTTCCAAAATCTAAATTATAAGGTAGGTACCTTCTTACTAAAACGATGAAATTTCAAATTTTTTTTCGTTGAGATTTTGTGTCCTAATGGTCAATCAACTCACCCTTAACTCCATACACTAAATTATTCTCAGATTTGAAGCCGAAATCTATGAAAAAAGGCACTCAGAAAAATTGAAAAATCGATAAATCACCCCAAATTGCTTAACACGATTTTATCTCAGAAACTATAAGTGTAAATGAGCTGAAATTTTCAGGGATTGTAGTCCTTAGGAAGGGATAAAATTCAGTGAAAGTTTCAGCTTTCTATCTATAATAGAAAAAAAGTTATGACCTTTCAAAATTTTTCAAAATCTAAATCATAAGGTAGGTACCTTCTTACTAAAACGATGAAATTTCAAATTTTTTTTTATCGAGATTTTGTATCCTAATGGTCAGTCAACATACCCCACACTCCATACACTAAATTATTCTCAGATTTGAAGCTGAAATCTATGAAAAAAGGCACTCAGAAAAATTGAAAAATTGATAAATCACCCCAAATTGCTTAACACAATTTTATTTCAGTCCAAATGAGCTAAAATTTCTACAAAGAATGTTGAAATGAACGGTAGATAGATGAAATACTGTGGTTAGGGGGTCTATATAAAGCATGTTGGAGTAAATCTCCAAATCATTTTCCTCTACGGGCAACATTGTAAAATGCTTTCCCATTGGTTGACTTTTCCCGCCAAAAATCACAAAATTTGAAACCAACCAATAATGTTTTATTAATTCCAGGACGGTCCACGACGAAGTTTCGCTTACCCCGGCGAATAACCACTGAGTAAGTACCCTAAGAGCATAAGAATTCAAATGGCAAAACTAATGAGAAAGTTTTTATTGATTTGAAATTTGAAACAATTTTTACTTTGTAATAAAAATGGCATATTACAAATAATAAAATATAATTTAAAAATTAAAATAAAATAAAAAACCTCTGAAGTCACACATTAAAAGGTATACAGGGTGTCCCCGTTTAACTGGTCAAGAAGGCTAGGAACCATAGAGACGTTCTATGAGATTTAGAAGTGTGACGTTTTCAAAATACAAGGTGTTGAAATTTTATAAAAAAATGCAACTTTTTAAAGAATTGTAGTTGATTTGTTTTGTCCAAGGACGGACTTGCAACATATGTGTTGTGTTTTAAATTTATATACCTACCCTAGCATTTTTGACCAATTGAACGAGGACACCCTGTATAATATGATTTTAAAATATATATATAGGTAAAACAATTTACAGATTAATATTTAATATGAACGCCATAGGGTCCGAATTAAATACATTATATACATCTATTTTTATATACAATAAATAAATTTAAAAAAAAAGACTTCAGATTGTATTATTTAAAATAAAACCGACGCCGGAACAAAGAAATTATTGCTTGGAAGAAAGATATTATGGGACTGTTGTTGTTGTTGTTGTTCCTGCGTCGATTTCCACTTTATAAAACTGTACACTAATAATAAATTAACAAATTTTGGACCAACAAATGCTGGATGGGAGAAAGGTAGGTACATGTATGGTCCAAAAAAAAAAATAACCGGCCTGCCTATGTAATTTCTATATAGGGCTACAAATGTCTAAAACTCTTGATTTGGCACTAAGGTTTTTTTTTGTTTGTTTAAAATTCACGCATTTTTATTTTTTTTTTCAGTCTAAAATCGTAAAACTAATTTTGTTTCTATAGTACGATCCACATACATAATTAAAAATTTTACTCTATAGTCCATTCATAAATATATTTGGCAGATCACGCACTAGAAGTCTATGAACGGACTTTACTAAGTTATTTATTGCAGGCCGGTGAATGTTTTTCAAATTATTTTTCCCATTTTTATATTTTGTCCACAGGCAGAGGGAGACTAGCACCATTCCCTTAAAAACTAATCGATAAATCAACTTTTTTTTTTCACGCGACTAGAGACTATAGTTATTACACCGACCTTTATATCACCTCTCTTACTAAAATCGAAAGAAATCAGACTTCTTCAATTATTAATTATTATATGAGCTTCTAAAGCTAGATTCAGTCACGATTCTAGCTTTTTAGTATTCCCTACGTGGACTTGATCCAGGCGGCCGGTACCCATTGTGGTTCTCGTTCCAGGCTGTTTATCTCACAAAGCAAATCGTGGTAGGCCCTTTCCGTATCGTTATTTATAATAATCATATCGAAAAAGTGGCCATATTTGTTTTCCATTTCGCGTGCCTTATCGATAATGTCTACTAGATCTTCTTCCTGTAATGAAGAATATTTTAAAAAATTATATATTGTTACGGCCGCCAGTGTGTCAAGAATCCTGTACAGATTCGAGATTTTACGTTGATAGTCGGGAACAAGGTTCTTTTGGAATTTACAGGAATAAATTACGGCTATATATAAGGACAGGTTTTCGCTTGTAAGTTTAAGTTAAAGTTTGACTGTGATACGAGTTAAATAGTGGTTATTGTTGTGAAGAGCAGTGGCGGCTCGTGACTATTTCAAGTGAAGAGGCTAAAAAAAAAATTCAGTAAGGTAGGTAACCACTGCGCAGTAGGCAAAATTTGTTTTGGGGTGCCCATGCCCTCAATAATTTATCTCAAATTCAATAAAAACCAAGAATACTCGAGAAAATGTTCCTTTTCTTATATATAGTATTCAGAGTTAATTTTGACGGGCTGGTATTACTCCGGCCCTTCGGGCTCGCGTATAACTCCGGCCCTGCGGGCTCGGATTACTCCAGCCCTTCGGGCTGGTATCACCCTGGCCCTTTCGGGCTTCTATTACTTCGGCCCTTCGGGCTCGCGTATAATTCCAGCCCTTCGGGCTCAATTTTTTGGTGGAGGCTTAGCTTCCCCTGCCTCCTCTGACGTGCCGCCACTGAAAGAGTTTAATTGTTGAGATAGTTATTAAAATAATTAGTGTCAGAGTGTATTGTTAAGTGAAATAAATTATTGCTGTGTTAATTGGACTTTGATTTTTGATACAGAGCCGTGACAATTGGTGTCAGAAGTGAGACATAACAGACTGCAGAGTGAAATCCAATTGCGGAAGTGCACTAGTGTAGTGTCAAAACTGAACACTTAATGAACACTGGAACAGTTTTCCCAAAGCCGTGACAATATATTGAAATATTTTCATAATAATTACCTTATAGGATTCTCCTAGCCGATCCTTTTTGATTTTTAAGTTTTCCAAATTAGGCGGAGCCACAAATACAACATAAGGCTTCAAATCCGAAGTTCTTAAGATTTTTAAGCTTTGAGGATGCAAATTGAGTACGCAAATTTTGCCTGAATTCACTACTGATCTTATAGCATCTAGAGAAGTACCATAGTAGGCCTTTTCATATTCACCATGCTCCACAAACTTTCTGGATAAAATGTCTGCTTCAAATTGTGCTCTAGTGATGAAATGATAGTCTTGGCCATCGACTTCGTTTTCTTTTCGGGCTCGTGACGTATGGGGAATTGCTGCTGCAAATCTTTCAGCGTTTTCCATAAGTCTTTGTCTTAACTCGTGACGCCCAATATCGGGAGGGCCTATAAGAACTATTGGACGCTTTTTGTCTGCTCTAGGATAAAACAGTGAAACTTCTTCATATGTAAGAATCTCTTCTGGATCGTAATCATCTGTGTTTGTATACATTGGATAACCACCTTCATCATACGCGCCTCCAGCCTTTTTCTTCTTTTTCTTAGACGTAGTCCCACAAAGCAAGGTAGATGTTGAAGATTTTTTACTGGGCTTTGAAATTCTTTCATTTGCAGCCAATCGCATTGTTTCTCTTTGATGTTGAAAAGACAAAGATGGTATTAATCCAGCCAAGGTTTGATCTTCTTCTCCTTCCCTATAGGCCTGCCACCAGTTTGGATCTTCTTGACTAATAACATGTAAAACATCTCCTTTTCTAAAACTAATGCCCAATTCCCGGCAAGGTATATACATGTCATCCTCGGGGTCATAGTCGAACAAGGCTCTGACATGCAAGACCATGTCGCGCGACATGTTTTGTCTCGCTTGCCCAGCAGGAATAACGAGGATGGTCAGAGAACCTTCCATGTCTTTGAGGATATCACAGACTGCGTTGACACTTTTGCCTCGCATTTCAATTCCATTTACTTCTAGGATTTCGTCCCCTTCATGTAGGAGGCCGCTCTTTTCTGCCGCTCCACCTCGAACTACCCGACCTGGAAGAGAGAAAGATTGCTATAGTCCATTTGACACAGAGAGTGATAATGAAAGCTCCTTTCATAGGCGTGCAGTACCTAGATGTAATTTTATAGTACGAAACAATCTATAACCACTCAATTTTGATGTTATACTTGGTAAATAATGCCTGAACATCAGGAACCTGAGCAAGAACACTTGCCAGATGCCAGGGAACCCATAAACATCACTCCTCAAGTGTTGTAAATTTCTGCTAGAAAAATTTGAAATTCTGGGAAAATGAGCTTCTCACCTTCCTCTTTACATGCAAAAAGTTTTAAAATTTTACCTTCACTAGTTTTCCAGGAAAACTTCGAAATGTGTGAAACTGTATTTTCAATTAATTAGTTATTGTAGGTTGATTTCCAAGATTCCTCATGTTGTGATTTTCTACTGGAAAAATTTGAAATTCTGGGAAAATGAGCTCCTCACCTTCCTCTTTACATGCAAAAAGTTTCAAAATTTTCCCTTCACTAGTTTTCCAGGAAAGCTTTGAAATATGTGAGACTGTATTTTCACTTAATTCAGTTATTGTAGGTTGATTTCCAAGATTCTTCATGTTGCAATTTTCTACTGGAAAAATTTGAAATTCTGGGAAAATGAGCTTCTCACCTTCCTCTTTACATGCAAAAAGTTTCAAAATTTTCCCTTCACTAGTTTTCCAGGGAAACTTTGAAATATGTGAGACTGTATTTTCAAATAACTCAGTTATTGTAGGTTGATTTCCAAGATTCTTCATGTTGTTAATTTTCTACTGGAAAAATTTGAAATTCTGGGAAAATGAGCCTCTCATCTTCCTCTTTACATGCAAAAAGTTTCAAATTTTTCCCCTCACTAGTTTTCTAGTGACCTTCCACCTTCCTCTTTACATGCAAAAATTTTCAAAATTTTCCCTTCACAAGTTTTCCAGGAAAACTTTGAAATATGTGAGACTGTATTTTCAATTAATTCAGTTATTGTAGGTTGATTTCCAAGACTCTTCATGTTGTAATTGTCTACTGAAAAAAATCGAAATTCTGGGAAATGAGCTTCTTACCTTCCTCTTTACATGCAAAAATTTTCAAAATTTTCCCTTCACTAGTTTTCCAAGAAAACTTTGAAATATGTGAGACTATATTTTCAATTAATCCACTTATTGTAGGTTGATTTCCAAGATTCCTCATGTAATTTTCTACTGGAAAAATTTGAAATTCTTGGAAAATGAGCTTCTCACCTTCCTCTTTACATGCAAAAATTTTCCAAATTTTCCCTTCACAAGTTTTCCAGGAAAACTTTGAAATATGTGGGACTGTATTTTCATTCAATTAATTCAGTTATTGTAGGTTAATTATCAAGATTCTTCATGATGTAATTTTCTACTGGAAAAACTTGAAATTCTGGGAAAATGAGCTTTTCACCTTCCTCTTTACATGCAAAAAGTTTCAAAATTTTCCTTCACTAGTTTTCCAGAAAAACTTTGAAATATGTGAGACTGTATTTTCAAATAATCCAGTTATTGTAGGTTGATTTCTAAGATTCCTCATGTTATAATTTTCTACTGGAAAAATTTGAAATTCTTGGAAAATGAGCTTCTCACCTTCCTCTTTACATGCAAAAATTTTCAAAATTTTCCCTTCACAAGTTTTCCAGGAAAACTTTGAAATATGTGAGACTGTATTTTCAATTAATTCAGTTATTGTAGGTTGATTTCCAAGACTCTTCATGTTGTAATTGTCTACTGAAAAAAATCGAAATTCTGGGAAATGAGCTTCTTACCTTCCTCTTTACATGCAAAAATTTTCAAAATTTTCCCTTCACTAGTTTTCCAGGAAAACTTTGAAATATGTGAGACTGTATTTTCAATTAATTCAGTTATTGTAGGTTGATTTCCAAGATTCTTCATGTTGTAATTTTCTACTGGAAAAATTTGAAATTCTGGGAAAATGAGCTTCTCACCTTCCTCTTTACATGCAAAAATTTTCAAAATTTTCCCTTCACAAGTTTTCCAGGAAAACTTTGAAATATGTGAGACTGTATTTTCAATTAATTCAGTTATTGTAGGTTGATTTCCAGGATTCCTCATGTTGTAATTTTCCACTAGAAAAATTTGAAATTCATAGAAAATGAGCTTCTCACCTTCCTCTTTACATGCAAAAATTTTCAAAATTTTCCCTTCACAAGTTTTCCAGGAAAACTTTGAAATATGTGAGACTGTATTTTCAATTAATTCAGTTATTGTAGGTTGATTTCCAAGACTCTTCATGTTGTAATTGTCTACTGAAAAAAATCGAAATTCTGGGAAATGAGCTTCTTACCTTCCTCTTTACATGCAAAAATTTTCAAAATTTTCCCTTCACTAGTTTTCCAGGAAAACTTTGAAATATGTGAGACTGTATTTTCAATTAATTCAGTTATTGTAGGTTGATTTCCAAGATTCTTCATGTTGTAATTTTCTACTGGAAAAATTTGAAATTCTGGGAAAATGAGCTTCTCACCTTCCTCTTTACATGCAAAAATTTTCAAAATTTTCCCTTCACAAGTTTTCCAGGAAAACTTTGAAATATGTGAGACTGTATTTTCAATTAATTCAGTTATTGTAGGTTGATTTCCAGGATTCCTCATGTTGTAATTTTCCACTAGAAAAATTTGAAATTCATAGAAAATGAGCTTCTCACCTTCCTCTTTACATGCAAAAAGTTTCAAAATTTTCCCTTCACTAGTTTTCCAGGAAAACTTTGAAATATGTAATACTGTATTTTCAATTAATTCAGTTATTGTAGGTTGATTTACAAGATTCTTCATGTTGTAATTGTCTACTGGAAAAATTTGAAATTCTGGGAAAATGAGCTTCTCACCTTCCTCTTTACATGCAAAAAGTTTCAGAATTTTCCCTTCACTAGTTTTCCGGAAAACTTTGAAATGTGTAAGACTGTAATTTCTCACAAATTCTCCCAAATTCCACATACATTTTTTTCCAAATTCCCTATAAATTCCCCTAATTCTCATAAATTCCCCACAAAGTCCTCTAAATTTCCCACAAATTCCTCTAAGTTCCCCACATTTTTGGCAAAGAATTCCTAGGTGGTTTGCCCCTTGGTTATGATGCTATGGAACCATAAACCTTGTGTGTATTTCGCTAATTTTTGTGGGACACTTGGTATATACAGGGTGTCCTCTTAGATAAACTGACACATTTTGCTGGTTAAAACAAGACAGGATAACGAGATACGGTTTGTTTTGTTTGAAAATTCACCTTTGAAGATCCTAAAAAATACTTCAAGCAATCAGAGGGACTTCAAACTTTCAAGATTTATTAAAGAAATATTTACCAGCAAAATGTGTCAGTTTATTTAAGGACACCCTGTAAGCAGAGGTCAATTTTGAACCAACCAAGATGAATACATCGTTTGTCTCACTTCAAATGGGATAAAACGAAATGTGCCTTCTTTGTCAGTGACTTCTTCTTGGCTGGTTCCTACTAAACATCAATGTATAAAGAGACAATTTACCTATGACAACTGCATCTCCTTCGTTTCGTACCGTAGCTCCTAAAGGTTCCGTAGTTTTCTCAATCCGAATAATCTTGATATTATCATCGGTACCATAGCGCGTATTGATCAAAGGTACCACTGCCGGTACTTCGATTTGTTGAGGCGACGCCGGCGCCGAATCCAAAGGCACCGTGGACGCTACCCCATCGTGGGCGGCCATTAAAGCTTCCAATTCATACCCTAGGGAAACAAACTTATACAGGGTGTTCATTTTAAAGCCGCTAAATTTTTCTATAATTTGAGTTTCTATATGCAAAATTCATCTACTCTCTCTAAAAATGCAAAGGGGGGTTGTAACTTTTAAAACAAATACCCTGTATATATTTTTTTTTGAATAATTAAATACCTGTTAAGATATTGGCCAACTCCACTGCGTAGGCGCTTTGGGAAGTGGTGAGTGCGTCCAATGCATCCCTAAGGACATTTTGGGCTACAGGTTGAGGTCGGGTGGTGATTTTTTGACGCACCGACTGGATTTTATTGTGGATTGCTAAGGCGCGGCCAAATTGGGGTGACAATAACAGTGATTGTACTGCAGCTATTCGGCCTTCTAGACCCGATATCCCCGAACCTGCAGAGGTTTTTTTCAGTTGCAGCTGCAACCTTTGGACTGCTGCTACCAAATCACCATAAGCTAGAAAATTATTTGTGTAAATTGAATATTAATTGTTGAGGGTTTTACCATAAGCAACATGCACTCGTTCTTTTTCTTCTGATGATGTAGGACTTTCAGATCTGTCTTGTTCATCTTCGTAGGCATCATTGATGGTACCAGTAGGTTTGCTTTCTAGGGCTTGAAGTTTCCGGGAACCACGTAATGATCGGTTGAGGTACTCGGTTTGGGCCGCAATTCGTTCCTCTTCTTCTTTCCGTTTCCGGATTTGTTCCTGCAACGAATAATGTATATGGACCTTTACAAGGTGGTACTTTATAACTTTGTACCTGAAAATTGTTTATTTTTACCCCAGATACCATAGTAGTATAGTTGCATAATATAATATCGCACCGAAATGTTTAAATACTAGAGTTATACTATACAAACAAGCGCAGGTAACACACGCTAATGATTCTGATTATACACTCCCACACCTGTCGGTTGTTTACAAAGTGGGTTCGATATTTTTTTAGTGTGGAAATGGTGATGACACATTGCTTTTACAGGGTGATTTCAATAAAGTATTGAAATGTTTGTACAAGAATTTTGTTAATTGGTTTTTAATTATTGTCTGATAATACTATTGTCGACTTTCACCGCATAACAAAAAGGTTTTCGCTGCAACGGCCATATTGTAACATCCGGCCCATTGTTGCTCCCATGAATAAATATAATAGTTACAGGGTGGACTCACCTGGTACTTCTTGATACTGTCCAATTGTTCCCGGGTCGGTTCGGTAACAATCGATGTTTTATTGATGTTGTTGTTGTTGACAATTCTGGCCGGTAACTGGGGCGCCGGCGCCTTGTTGACCAGCCTACCATCAGGTTCGATTTTTAAATGGTCTCTGGGCGGTGGTACCGGTTTGGGTGGTACTTGAGGGGTGGCTTGCGATGGAGGGTGATGGTTGACGGAACCGTTTATTGTAGGCTGAAGGGAGAGAATAATTAATATTATTATTATTGCGAAAGTGGCCCGCACCTCATGTTAGCGCTACATTACATATTTTGTTAGTCAAGTGCCATAATTATCTAATGCGGTTACCTCTAATTTATTTTTAATAGGAGGGTACTTTCTGTCTATATAGTTTTCAGGTACGTCAATGGCTCGTTCTTGTACGTCTCCACCGAAATTAACACCGGAAAATCTATTATACCCGACCTATTATTTGAATAATGTAAAAAATTTAAAACACACACACACACAATAAATAGTCTCTTACCGTTAGGGTGGGTTTAGGTGGCGGATATCGGGGCGGCGTTTTGTTCCGGGCCACGAAACTTTCCGGTACGTCCACCGCCATCTCGCGATGGGGTTGACCGTCTTCGGTACCCGGCGATACCACCATTACCATGTCCAAAGGGTCCACAGTGTCGTCAAGTGGTTTTTTCACTGGTTCTTGTAGTTCCGAGTCTAGTACCACCAAACTACTACCGGAACGTCTACGAGACCTAATAAAAGATTATGTATTTTAAAAGTGGCGCCATCAAGAGGATTATATTGTCCAGACATTTGTCAGCAGGGTACCAAAAGGGACTCTTAAGTGGTTTTTGAAATAAATATCGTATTACAACTATAAGTACCGAACAGACATAAATATAGATGTGTGGAATTTGTGCATATATTAATTAATTAAAGTGGTACCATCACACTACAGGTTGACCTTCATCGGTAATAATAAACAAAATAAATTCCGTACCAGTAATATTTAAAAATCCGCATTTTGCCGCTACTAAAAGAAACGTCCAGTACCATTGTTTACAACAATTATTTTTAAAACACTACACAACGATTCAAGACATAATCCCGAAACTGACTGGCTTTAAAGGTCCTCAACTCAACCAGCAAGTGGGTGTAACGGACAGGTAGTACCCAAGAAGTTAGTTTTGAATAAGGCACTATTGGTACCACCTATGAGAGGATTCTATATTTGCTTCCTTTGCGGAGGAATTTCTTAAGCTACAGGTATATGCGTTTTGTTTGGTCTGCAGGTAAAAAGGTACCGCTGGGGTTGGTGAAGCGTGGCACGGTGCATCTGATTTTTAAAATTTCCCAGTCCAGATCTGATTTTTCTTTGTTTTGTTGTTGTTGAGGGGGCGGATATCGTGTTAGCGTAGAGAAGTTGAGTCACGTGAGAAACTCATATTTTTTTCCACTTAATCTACAGACAATCGTCATATCAATGGATGACGAATTTGGGTATTTGTAGTACCGCGATAATATTCTATAGAATGAAAAAAAAAAAAACCCAGCGTGAGAATCATTCAAAGGTGCAATTATTCTTTTACCTGCTTTCCGAAAGGAAAATTCCTCGGGTCGACCCATACACAAACTTAACGGTTCAAAGATTAGATTTATGAAAGTGGAAGAATGTCTTATGATGGGTGAACTTTCAGTATAGTAGTGTGTATATTTTTGTTGACTTGGAAATAAATTCTTACGTATATATATTCGTCATCGTCAATAATTTGTTGATAAGTCGAAAGTAGGTACCGCGTCCACTATCTGCATTGAATAGGCGCCGCGCCTACATGGCCCATGTAAATCAACTATTGTTAAACTTTCGCATTTATCGGCGCTCGTATACACATGAAATTCCTAACTAGAAATCTTTTTTAGCTGCTGTGGTACCACCAGTACAATCAGTTTATGGTTTTTTGAAATGAAACACAATATCGAATTACAACATGTTTTTGTTATCGATGTAATTGTTGCTGTATGTAGTTCGTAAGGCAATTGTCGGAATTTGGCTACCAACCGGACTGAAAACTGAAAACTCTGCATTTGTTTTAAAGTGTTCTGGAACTTTCAAGAAGTGTTCTACAATAGATCAAGTTGCTCTTGAAAATGTTAACTCGGATTAAAACTTTGAAGAATCCCAAACTCTTTGACATGTTACTATATTCTGAACTGTTCTGGAATGTTCTCGAAAACTCTATATTTGTTCTAAAGTGTTCTGGAACGTTCAAGACGGTTCCTCAAAATTCTAAATGTTTTACTACACTCTACACTGATCTAGAGAGTTTGAAGTTGTTTTTGAACATGTTAACTTTGATTAAAACTTTGTAGAATCTCGATTGTAATTACAGGGTGTTACACGCTACAACTTGTTTATAGGGTGTCATTACGGATACACTCTCGAAGAGGAAACTGCGTGGAAAACATTGGTGGAATTTTAGTAGGATTCCGTTAAAAGTGGGATTCTGAAATCACGACTTTTTTAGGGGTTTTAATTTTTTCGAGACACTCAGACGGCCGGACATTTCACAAAACTAATTTTTCTTGATTGCTAGGGGTGGTAGCTAACATGTGTAGCTATTTTAGAAGCAGCACAAGCAACCGCGTAGAGACTACAATCGAAAATTGACAGAAATTACGACTTTTTTAGGGTTTTTAATTTTTTTGAGACACTCAGACGGCTGGACATTTCACAAAACTAATTTTTCTTGATTGCTAGAGGTGGTAACTAACATGTGTAGCTATTTTTGAAGCAGCACAAGCAACTGTGTAGAGACTACAATCGAAAATTGACAAAAATCACGACTTTTTTAGGGTTTTTAATTTTTTTGAGACACTCGGACGACGGGGAATTACACAAAATTAATTTTGGTTGATCGCTAGTAGTAGTAGCTAACATCCATAGCTATTTCTAATAAGGCACAAACAGCCCTTAGAATATATGAGAATCCGGCCGGTATAGTAAAAAGTAGGCTTAACCGCGATTCCATAGTTTTATGGATAACTTCACACTAACTTTTTTAAGATGGTTCACCCTTCGAGAAACTTTAAGGCCCGTTTCATAATTTGGTGGTAACCTGCAATGGTTATCAAACTAATAGTTGCGGATTAACAATAAGTTCGCAAAATGAAGAATGACTTAAGTTTTCTGATGTTTTAACCAATGTTTTTGGCTCAACCATACAGTATCTTGTGGTTACCGCTGTTTGTGAAACTGGCCCTTATAGGAAGATTTATCAATTAATTCTTACCTCAATTGTATATCGTTTTCAATATTGAGCTTATTGTTATTGTTTTCAACCGTCTTGAACTTATTGTCTTCACCAATGAGCAGTTCGGTACGTCCGTTGGCATACGGCGACGACGCGCGCCGTTCGTCCGGCTGTCCGACGTGATTGGCCAGCAAAGCGACCGCACTGATTTGTTCCGGCACCTGCCGGACGTCGTTGCCTACCAACGCAGGCCGGTACTTGTCGCCGCCGGCGCTCCGGTGCACGGCGACGACCGACGTCGCGCCTCCGGCCGATCTGCTTCCGGTGGGGTTGTTGTTTAAATTTTCGGTGGCCGTCAACGAAGTGACGTATATGGGCGAGTTGTTGATGAAACCGTTCAGGTCTTCCGACGTTACCACCGTTTGTTGGCTCAACTATAACATAAAATATCAATACACGACTAAAGGGTCATTTACATCCACATAACTTAACATGTACGTTATTTCTTTGCATATTATTTGACTTGAAAGTTGAGATTATAAGTGCGCATGCGTCACGTGACAAAATTAACTTCATTGCAAGCACAATAAACCTTCGTTGATTATAATTTTCCGTACATTAAGTTAAGTTGCGTGGATATAAATGACACTTATCTGTCCGTTATATGTATAATGACCTTGAAATTATATCGTACCTGTTCGGAAAGTTTGGTTATGTCGATCGGAGTGATTTTGCGCAGGGCCGAGAGTCGCTCCAGGCGGTCGCGGGCCTGCTGTTCGACTGCGATGACGAACGCATCTTGCACGTTGTCCTGCGACAAATCCAAATCTATTGCTGTAAAATAAAACCCAGTGTAAACCAAGATTTACTAATTCCACTATAATATACACACGAGACTGTGTAGAATGTGTGTATGTGAACTTTAAGCAAGAGAAGTTCGCTGACCTCTCTTGAAAAGATGATTTTTGGATGATTGAAAAAAACATATAAGTACGCTGTTATCTTAAAGACGTAGTACCATTTCTTGAATAAATATTTTTAAAAAAAAGAAGTACCTTCGTTGTACTCTTGAGTAGGCGCTAACCAGTCTCAGACAAATAAACCAGCGTTGCCGCGCCAGTACCACCTCATTTCCATACAATAAACGTTATGAATATCAAATCATATTTTCGTTTTAATTAAATTATATATGTATACGCGTGACACATAAGGCTTCTCGGCCCTTGAGCAAAAGGATCGATATATACGGCTGCATTTAGACTTGAAATTTGTATGTTTTTGTCAATTTTAAATCGATATAGAGCGAGTCTAAATTAGTTAGAAACAAATCTCATTTTTGTCTCTGGAATTTTTTTAATTTTTTTTACATACTCATGAATAATTGTTCATATCTTTGATGACATTTGGGGTAATTCCCTATAATTATACACTATTAAAAAGAGTATTAAATTCTCTATAAGCCTGTGCAAAATTGGTTTTCCTAGCTTGTAGAGTTTCCAAGTTATTAAACGTCAAAGTCTCCCTTGAGGAAATATTAATTGAATCCGACTGATAAAGAACTTATCTCTACCCTTTTGTTTCTGACCAGATAAAAAACTCATAGTCCAGCCAACTGAGGCTGTCATGTCATAGAGTCTGTTTAGTAAAATTTGTCAATATTGACCGACCTTAGCAAAACCAATGTTGATTTTTGTGAATTAGGTTGCGGCACAACCACTTTAACTTGGCACTCATTATACTGTTGAAAAGTTTTGGAATAGAGGATAAAACTATCTTTCCTTTTGTCTGGAAAAATGGATTCTGTCAAAGATAGATTAAATAAGATATACAATGGTCAGAGTGCAGACACAGTGTTTGAGCAACAGATTTGGGAATTCCGTCTGGCCCCAAGGTATTTTTGTTTGGTAATTTTGAGATCTTATTACGAAATTTCCTCTACAATAATAGGCGCAAAGTCAAACGACTCCAAATAATGATTTGAAGGTTTAGATATAGAGAAGTTATCCAGGTTCCCTGGAACATAAACTCACTTTTTATCAATTTGCCTTTCAACAGGAATTAGTAATGTTACTTTACCAAACTAGTAACATAATGTGATAAGTTATTCAAGTACAAACAAGTGAATTGTTGCGGCACTTATGGGTGGACCTCTGCGGGACGAGCACAGCGAGTTCCGCAGCCATCTATTCATCAATATGTTGTGTAATTACGATACTAACCTGACTCACTCAAATGTGAGTTATTCTCATTAGTTTAAAAAGTACACGTTTTAGGTGAATGTCTTCTTGAATAGTTCAACAGTATATTGGGGAGTAGATGGCTGCGGAACTCGCTGCGCTCGTCCCGCAGAGGTCCACCTATAAGTTCTGCAATAATCCACTTATTTGTACTTGAACAATAACTTATTATGTAAAGTCAGAATTTGTAAGATTATTCACTTTTTGTCAATTTGCCTTTTAACAGGAATTAGTAATGTTACTTCACCAAACTAGTAACCAAATGTGACAAGTTATTCAAGTACAAACGAGTGAATTTTTGCGGCACTTATGGGTGGACCTCTGCGGGACGAGCGCAGCGAGTTCCGCAGCCATCTATTCATCAATATGTTGTTTAATTATAATACTAACCTGACTCACTCAAATGTGAGTTATTCTCATTAGTTTGAAAACTATACGTTTCAGGTGATTGTCTTACTTGAACAGTTCAATTGTATATTGGTGAGTAGATGGCTGCGGAACTCGCTGCGCTCGTCCCGCAGAGGTCCACCCATAAGTTCTGCAATAATAATCCACTTATTTGTACTTGAACAATAACTTATTAAAGTCAAAATTTGTAAGATAATGATTATTCACTTTTTGTCAATTTGCCTATTAACAGGAATAAGTAATGTTCCTTTACCAAACTAGTAATATATTGTGACAAGTTATTCAAGTACAAATTAGTGAATTGTTGCGGCACTTAGGGGTGGACCTCTGCGGGACGAGCGCAGCGAGTTCCGCAGCCATCTATCATCTCATTCCTAATATAAATGAACTACTAGACAAGCTAGGGCGCTGTCAGAACTTCACAACCCTTGATCTGGCGTCTGGCTTTTAACAGATAGAAATGGCAGATATTCAAAAGACGGTGTTCAACACGGAAAATGGTCACTATGAGTTTTTAAGAATGCCATTTGGACCACGAAACGCTCCTGCAACCTTCCAAAGGGTCATCGACAACATTCTTCGAGGGTATAGCAACGAAATTTGTGCAATATATATTATAGACGATATAATCATCTTTAGTACAAGCCTTCAGGAACATCTAACAAGATTGAAGCTCATTTTCAACAGGTTACGAGAGGCAAACTTCAAAATATAGCTGGACAAATCGGAATTCTGCAAAAAGAAGTAGCATATCTGGGACACATAGTAACACCAGAAGGCGTAAAACTGAACCCAGAAAAAGTAAGAGTCATTGAAAAATATCCCATCCTCAAAAGAAATTACAGGACATTTATAAAAGATTTTGCAAAGATTAGGTACCAAACCCCTCACAAGCTGCCTGAAAAAAGATGCAATCATCAACATCAAAGACCCTGAATACCTAAAATGTGTCGAATTGTGAAAAAACATTTTAACTAACGAACCACGGAACTTTTCAGAATCATTTATTTTGACAACTGATTCCAGTAATTTCGCCATAGGTGCCGTACTTTCACAAGGAAAGATAGGGTCAGACCTACCAATAGCATTATGCTAGTAGAACCCTAAATACTAATGAAACGAACTATGTTAACATCGAAAAAGAGCTTTTAGCGATAATATGGGCCAACCGTAGACCCAAGCTGGTATACAATGGCTCTTTTCCTCGAAAGAAACGAGTTCTTAAATGGTAAGATGGAGACTCTAACTAAAGGAATTCGACTATGAAATAATTTCATAGTATATAAATACAAGAAAGGACTTTTTACGTGAATTTTGTTCTTAGACAATAAAGCATTTTTTGATTTGATTTGATATTGCGGAACTTATGGGTGGACCTCTGCGGGACGAGCGCAGCGAGTTCCGCAGCCATCTATTCATCAATATGTTGTTTAATTACGATACTAACCTGAGTGAGCTATTTTCATTAGTTTAAAAACTACATGTTTTAGGTGAATGTCTTCTTGAATAGTTCAACAGTATATTGGTGAGTAGATGGCTGCGGAACTCGCTGCGCTCGTCCCGCAGAGGTCCACCCATAAGTTCCGCAATAGTCCACTTATTTGTACCTGGGTAATTAACTTAAACTGCATATTCATCATTCGACTAACGAGCCTCTGATAGATTATAATCGCCAACAAACATAAATTTTCTGGCAGTTTTGGAGGTTTAATACATTCTCGGCTGCCTCGCCATAAGGCATAAGCTATGTAGTAAGTTTCTGACATGTTAGGAAGAATGTATACTTCAGCTATAATAAATTTAGCACATGAGATAAATAAATGCTCATTACTCTACTATATCCTGTGGTGGGACTCCGTGCCATGTAGAATTCGACATATCGCATGCCGCATAGTGTGCTGAGTCTATAGAATCTTGTCAATATGTAGAATTCTACCTGACACGGAATCCCTGGACTGGTCCACTTGAATTTGGATAGATGAAATTTTTTTGTTGACAAAAATCAGAACCCCGCGCCACTACTAGACTTTTGGCTAGTTACGATTAATCTATCACTTCGAAATATGTTAAAGTTACTCTGTCTTAAATGTCACAATTAAGATTGCTTTGTTTGTCTCTCCAACGAAAATGAGGTTATGCATGTGACGTCAACTAAATAAGTACTAGCTGACGTCAGACATATAACCTCAATAACATGTTTGTCCCCCTATCGAAAGTGACATTATGTCATTGCTGATGTGTATAAATAGGCTGATGTTCATTTGTACTTGCTTCACCTGCTCGAAAATTGAAAAGATCTGCTAGGATCTGCTATTTATGAGCTTATAATATATGGAACAAGTGAACGCCAATCTGCTTGAAGCAAGAAAAGCAATCAATACAAATGAACACCCTAACATAGTCCGTTAAACGCCTTGGTTGTCTCCCCAACGAAAGTGAGGTTATGAGTGTCACATTTTGACAGTATAAAATCAATGGAGCATTAACTAGGTTTCCTAGAGTGCCTTCTTATATTTAATCATAAAGGTTGTCCTCACCATCACGCTTCTTACGTTTCAACTTATCATAAGCAACTTTAAAGCTGGATTTATAGTGTCAGTAGCAGTAACTGTAACAGTACTTTAAAAACTTAAGAACAAATATGAAAATAACAATTTCTTGAGTATTACTGGTAAGTTTGTTAAGTGAACTAGAAATGGCTTTACTACTACTGTTACTGTTACTACTATTGTTACTGATACTGTCACTGTGATTAAAGTGGCGTTTCAGAAACCTTCAAAGGTATCAATAAGTAAACAAAATCGTAACTTTACTTGTGAGTTTCATATCAACTTCCAACTTGTTTTGTATAATGAAGAAACTCCATTTAACAAATCCTGAAAGTTTCATATTGCTGGGATGGCTGAAAGTATTTTTCAGGAAATTCATGATTTTCTCATGTATCAGTGAGTAAAAATTGGAAAAAAGATTGATAACAAGCCATATTCTACAATGTTAAAATCGGTATAAATATCAATATTTATTTCCACTTGAGGGTATGTAAAGGCGATTCTCTATGAATTTTTGACATCGCAACATCATGAATAACTGCCCATATCTTGTATAACTTCTGAGGAAATCGGGTTAAATTATGTATCATTGAAAAGAGCATTAAATTCTCTTCAAATCTGTACCAATTTTGTTTCAGTTGCTCATGGGCTTTTTGAGCTATTGAGCTTAAAAGTGGATTTTTAGTCGAAATTTTGTCCAAAACTTCTAAGACGATTTTCTTAAAAACTATAAAAGCTAGCGATTTCAGCTTAATACCATCTGAAAACCCTCATCAAGAGCTACAAACCCTGCAAATTTTGTCTTGGTACCGCTTTTGGTTACCGAGATATGGCGGTTTAAAGATTTGAAAATAAAAATCTAAAGGGGTACCCCTTAGGAAAAAGTGCAAAAAAATTGAAAATTTTTATTTTTGAATTTCTCTCAATTTTGACTTCAGAAATCGATAGAGCGAGTTCAAATTAGTCAGAAACAACTCTTAGATTTGAGAATTATAATGAGAGAAAAAATCCTAAAGGAAATCTCAATTTTTGTCTCTGGAAATTTTTTGAAATCTTGACACGCTCATGAATAATTGCCCATATCTTCAATAAAATTTGAGCAAATTAGCTACAATTCTATATCATTGGAAAGAGCATTAAATTCTCTTCAAAACTGTACCATATTGGTTCCAGTACCTCAACGGGTTCATGAGCAATCGAACTCCAAAGTTGAATTTTAGTCAAAATTTTGTCCAAAACTTCAAACTCGATTTTCTCAGAAACTACAAATGCTAGCGATTTCAGCTAAATACCATCTGAAAACCCTTATCAAGAGCTACAAACCCTGACAATTTTGTCTTAGTATCGTTTTTGGTTACCGATATATTGAAGTTTGAAGATTTGGAAATCAAAATCTAAAGGGGGTAGTCCATGGAAAAAAATGAAAAAATTGAAAATTATACCAACTGATAAAGCGACTTCAAATTAATGAAAAATGAGCCAGTAATCATTCCTTTGAGCTTCATTGAAGAAAAACTTCCGATTTATACATCCTGTTAATTCAGGTCATTTTTTCATACCGTTACAATGACCAAAACCATCTTTCTATGATTGTCAAACCGCAATTACGTCAATCACTTAATACACGTTAATTGCCTCCGGTACCATCCATTTGGTACTCGACGTCATTTTTTCTCGATCGAGGTTACCTGGTTATATACAGTTAAACCATACCAGAAAAGAACTTTGTCGTATAATACATCATTTCTGGTCCGCCCATTTCTCGGTATAAACCCATGCAGCAGCATCGTCATCTCTTCAGAATTTCAACCTCTTGAGTCAAGGCTAACCACACAATGTTGCCAAAGAATCAAAAAATTTGTTTATTGTTAATAATTAATTGTTTAAAAAACCTTGTGGGAATTATTGTAATTAGTTAATGATGACCATCATCGATGGTAGGTACGTGATTTCCATTTTAAACAATAATAATTGCGTAATATTAATTATAAACAATTTTGGATTCAAACATATGAATATGGTCACAAACCTTTTTAATATATGGTATTCCAAATAAACAAAAATTATCACAATAAACGGCACATTATCATAATTTCAAAAAGTTCTATATGGTACCACAAAAATCGCGCCCCGACTCGGTACTCGGTACTTCTCTCGTCACTATTTCGCGTCCGCGAGGTTCTCTCCTCAGGTATGTCGTGTCGCGGTTTGGTTACCTCTTTTCTTTTTTTCCCTGCCCGCTGGCCTAGCTGTAGCGAAATCGGTCGACAATCGACGAATGCGCTTGGTTATGCAATAATATGTTGGCTTTTACTATATATTTTGTATAGCGTGTGTTGAGCTAATCGATATAACTAATTAGGGTTGGTGTAAACTCGATACTACATAAGATATCCGTATAGCAGACCAAGTTTCAACAAACATCTATACAGAAATCATACAACAATCTCTATCCAGGACTTTGTAGATGAGAAACCAAGCCAATGTGATATGAAATTGAAGTTGTTGATAAGGTGGAAGTTTGTCACTTACCTAAACGTGCTCCGCTTCTTCTTTTCACACGAAGACATATCGTTCTAGATCTAATACACTGAAACAAAATTTGAAATAAAGTTCTGGATTTTGGAAGAAGGTGACTCACTACTAACCTGATGAATATGGTTGATGACTTCAGTATGGTTGGCGTCGTCCAAAGTCTTACCGTTGACTTCCAAAATTTCGTCACCAACTTCTAAGTTGTCGTTATCGGCAGGTGAACCTATAATAGAATCATTTTTATATAAAACACTAGTGGAGAAACTAGTTACTGACCGTAAAGTTTTATCTTTTTGTCTTTGGTTTCCACCAGAATGATTACATAACCTCCTAAATCCACCATGATTTTTCGTACCAGAATCTGGAATAATACTACATTTGTAATACCTATGTGTTATATAACCAAATAACTTACAGGAAAATTAAAACTCGTTTATCCCATCATTATAGTCATTATGCTGAGCAACTTAATGGAACAATGTTTGTTGGGGGAGCAAAATAATCAATTTAAATCTTGTGCGTACGTAATATGTTGATAATTTAGGCAGTCAGTATAGTAATCCAATATATAAATATATTCACTTTTGTATTATTATTTTACCAATTCCTTATATTATAGACTAGATCGGTTTTTTGCGCGACAGGCCCCGAATCGGAGGGGCCATGATGATCCGGATCCAGATTTTTTTAATCCCGCTGAACCGCGTAGGTGGGTACCATAGCGGACCTACCGACAACACTGTGTGTCGGGCGTGGAAAAGGGAAAATGACGATCGATAGGACGCGCGCACAGCATCCCGCATTTTCTTCATCCCCATTTTCGGGGATTTGGGACAAGAAAAGTCTGGACAAAAATCCAGAATCATTGAAACACGCGTCACTGAATGGTATAACTATGTATCCAGATTTACTTTCCTCTTTGGCTCTATGTGTTGGGTTTGGATTTGGGACAAGAAGAGTCTGGACAAAAATCTAGAAATATTGAACTAAGTCAGAGGATGCTTATTCCTGGTTTCATAACATTATTTGGCCGTTTCAAATTTAAAAGGTTACCATTCGGAATACCTTGTGCACCCGAGTATTTTCCTATGCTTGATTAAGTTTCAATTTTCAATTCAATTATTCACATCACTCCAAATTGGTCTATACAAGAGCCGGGAATAGTCAAAAGTTTTAAGTATTGCCACCTGTAGTTCAAAAGTTGAGTTTAGATATTTATATTAACAGTGGGTCAAATGGAAATTTCGCATTTCTAATATGTGGCAACAAGCATATGAATATCGGATTTAGCCAGTGAGAGGGTGGTTTTCAGTCACGTAATCTGAATGAAATTCAATCATGTTTTAGCTAAAACCTCTACAATTAAAATAGAATAAACAGTTTTGCTTAAATTTTCAAAATAAGTCAGTTACAGACTTTTCTGTACACTCAAAACTAAAGAAAATGGCAGCCAAGCTAATTTGAGCCCAATCGTCATGAAATTCAAGTATGTTTTTGCTAAAATCTCAACCATCAAGGGAAAAAATATAGACTTTCTATAGAATAGACAGTTTTGCTTAAATTTTCAAAATGAGTAAGTTGCAGACTTTTTTTGTACACTCAAATTTTAAGAAAATCGCAGCCAAGCTATTTTGAGCCTAATCGTTATGAAATTCAAGTATGTTTTGGCTTAAATCTCAACAGGGCCGTAGCCAGGGGGGGGCATTGGGGGGCAATGCCCTATCTTTCAAATGATGATGCCCCTACCTTTAAAACACAACATACGTTGAGGTTTATCTAGAAAATTTAAGAGAAAATGGAAGCACTGTTTCAACCGACATGAGAACCGTTCTAGAACGGTAATTTTCAGTCGACCAATTCATTTGCCAAGGAGGATAAACGTTCAACTTATTGAAAATTAGGTGGACAATTGGAAATTACTAGTTCTGGAACTGTTCCTATGTCCATTGGACCACAGCTAATGAATGGACCTGGAATCGAATGAGTTGGTAGGCATACAGTTATTTTACAAGTAGTACAAGTACAAGAGGTCCCTCAAAAATTATTGCTTGAACGCGCCATTTTGTTTATTCGCCAGAAATGTTATTTGATGTTGTTTATTGAAAAATTTGCCTTCAGTGCCATTACTCCCATTCTGTTTACCTGTAAAAAAATTTAAGGGGCGGAGGGAAGTAGTGCATGCCCTATGTAAAATTTTTCATGCCCTACCACAAATTTGACTCTAGCTACGGCCCTGAATCTCAACCATTAAGGAAAAAAATATAGACTTTCTATAGAATAGACAGTTTTTCTTTAATTTTTTAAAATAAGTAAGTGCAAGACTTTTCTGTACACTCAAAACTAAAGAATTCGCAGCCAAGCTATTTTGAGCCCAATCGTTATGAAATTCAAGTCTGTTGTAGCTAAAACCCCAACCATCAAGGGAAAAAATATAGACTTTCTATAGAATAGATAGTTTTCCTTAAATTTTCAAAATAAGTTAGTTCTATTTGATATATTTCATATTAATTTTGTATATTTTCGTATAAATCTCCATTTGTAGGTCGATCGAGTTTACGTCACTGATGGTATCACCCTCTGTTTCTTACAATCCCCTCAAACAGTGGCGCACCCAAAAAATATGTTTGGGGGAGGGGCCTACATATTAGGTTGTGACTTGTGACTGAAAATCTAAAAAAAAATTGAGGTGTCAGGGTGCCACGCCTTAATGCTGCTACATTTTTTAAACTTAAAAATACAGTTTTGGAGAGGCTGTCTGGGGGGGGGGCCTGGCCTGATAGCACCCCCCCTGGGTGCGCCACTGCCCTTAGACAGGTCGCCCATCAAAGAAACATGGCAGTAACATACATATATCATTCTAATCATAGACGGATATTTTATGCATGTACAATTGTCCCTATGCATTTTAAAATTTAATATTAACTTATTCGAATAATATATGGGACGCCTATGGACATTGATTTGCGATGGTTTCGCATTTTCAAATAGACTATACTTATTATGTACCGAGTGATCGACGGCGGGCGGAGGTTTGGTGTGCAAAGTGGTAGGGGTGCAGGAAGGATGTTGAATTTAATGAAATAAAAATTAATTATCTAGACTGTACACTACAACAAAGCGTAGCTTGTCTACATGAACACCGCATTGTACCACAACCTGATATGCAGCTACACTTTTTAGTTCTCTACAGGCATTCCATATACATTATGGTAAAGTAGACCATAATGTTTCCCAATTTTCTCCTAAATTCACCCATCCCCAATCACTAAGTTCGGTCGAGGAAACATATATGAGACTCGTCCTTTGTTCGGCTTCATATTTGACTCACTTTGGGTAGCCATACCTCAAAGTATACTGTATTAATGGGAATTGGAACATTTCTGGTGCAAAAGAGGTATTCTTTAAGTTTATGGTGTCCTTCCAAAACAGTAAAAGGGCGCGTTTCAGTCACGTAATCTGCCTAAAATATTCCAATTTGTCACATAAAAGTGGCCTATTTCATTTAATAACCAGGATAGACTTTATTTATTTAACTTAAATCCCAATCAAAGTACCACTTTATTCATACAGTTATCAAGATACCAATATGAGCTTAAAATAACAGTTATTATTATACAACATTTTGGTAGCTTTTCAATCAAAAGTGCAGAGAGATTTTATAAGGAATCTTTTAGATTGTTGAGCAAATTATATATATGACTAGAATCCAAAAAAAAAACGCATGCGCATACATTGGCACTGGTTTGGCAATGAAGTAATAACATCAAATAGTTTTCTACAAATCAATTTTCTATCACAATAAATAATCAGTCTGGGGGAAATACACACTAAAGATTCGTCTGAGAAGGACTGGCCTCAGTGTTGCCAGGCTCGGTACCGTTCTGCCTCAGCCAGTGGCGCAAATTCCTGGTACGTTCGATCAAAGTCGTCGTGGCACCCTAAAAAAATTTGTTCGAGAACATCAGAGTAGGCCTTTTTGGATCTATTTAACCCGATCCCAGCTGGTGATCGGGTAAATCCGAAAAGTTCTAGTACTTACTTGCGAGGCGTGCGTCACTACAGTACTTTGCGCATTGGCCAAAGCCACGTGTTGCCGATAATTGTGCAATCTATCAGCCAAAGTTGGAATCGAAGGTGGAGCTGGGACGTTTGCTGCCCCAGCCAACACTGGCCAACCCAAATCTGGATACACCAAAGGAGGAATCACTAGAAAATTGAATCACCTAGAATCATTTTAAGACAGTTGTTGTTGTTACCTTGAGTAATACTGGTTGTCCGCAAAACGTCCCAAATTTCTCGAATTTCCAAATTCAAATTCTCCAAGCTTTGGATTATTTCCGATGGTTCTTGAAAGTCACTTTTAGCAACCGATTTGCCTTCCAGTGGTACAAACTCGGTGGAACTGATTCCAGAACTTGCACTATATGGAACAATTATTGTACTATTTTTAAACTCATTGAAATTTTTACCTGTGTGAAGACAAATCGCTCAAAGTGGCATCATCGTTTTGCGTATTGGCCCTATGCAGGGATTGTTCCAAATGTCGCAACCTTATAACCTTTTCGCCTAAAAGACTCCGAGTCCGGTGCAAGTTGACCTCCATGTCAGTGAGGTCTTTTTCCTCTTGACAAAGTTGCTGCAAAGTATGCCTGGCCATTGATCCGTGTTTAAGTTTCAGCTCTTTTTGCCTTTGTTGAAACAAAGCCTTTTGGCTCCTGAGACTCTCTTTGGCTCTTTTAATAGAGTCTCGTTCTAAATGGATCCGGTGCCGGAAAAATTCTAGTTCGGAGCTGCCCTCGAACTTTTGCCCGTCGGAAAATGGGTAGCGCAAGTGGTAGGTGTCTGCTTGGGAGTTTTGCGGAAACTGGTCTTCCAAGTCTTCGAGTTTTTGCAACTGTTTGCGTAGATTTTCAACAGGCGAACAAGATCTTTGCTGGTTTTTACGGGTTTTTGATGAGTTCAAATTGATTCTAGAAGTGGAGGAGCTTTTCAGTCTGGAAAATAGCTTTTTCCTGCTCCGGCCTGGATTCGTGCTGTCAGATGAATCGTTTTGGTTCTCGCTTTGATAGCAATTGTCGCTTACTGAAGTGTCCAAGTCTTGAATTGCAATTTTACGTACTACTTCGGGCTTAGTACCCGATTGACCTGGTGTGGGTGGTTTTTCCGAAACCTTTTTTGTTGGAGAGTTTAAAGGAGTTCTGAAATTAGACTGTTAGTGCAGTTGTATACCAATGAAACATCAAAGATGCAATATGCAACGTAACAAATTTCTGTATGAAGTAAATACCGCAGATAGACTTTTGTAGCATTTCACACATTTCAAAGTTTTCCTGGAAGACTAGTGAAGAGAAAATTTTAAAACTTTTTGCATGTAAAGAGGAAGGTGAGAAGTTCATTTTCTCAGAATCTCAAATTTTTCCAGTAGAAAATTACAACATGAGGAATCTTGGAAATCAACCTACAATAACTGAATTAATTGAAAATACAGTATCACATGTTTCAAAGTTTTCCTGGAAAACTAGTGAAGGGAAATTTTTGAAACTTTTTGCATGTAAAGAGAAAGGTGAGAAGCTCATGTTCCCAGAATTTCAAATTTTTCCAGTGGAAAATTACAACATGAGGAATCTTGGAAATTAACCTACAATAGCTGAATTAATTGAAAATACAGTCTCACATATTTCAAAGTATTCCTGGAAAACTAGTACAGGGAAAATTTTGAAACTTTTTGTATGTAAAGAAGAAGGTAAGAAGCTCATTTTCCCAAAATTTCAAATTTTTCCAGTGGAAAATAACATGATGAATATTGGAAATCAACCTGCAATAACTGAATTAATTGAAAATACAGTCTCACATATTTCAAAGTTTTCCCGGAAAAGTAGTGAAGGGAAAATTTTGAAATTTTTGCATGTATAGAGAAAGGTGAGAAGTTCATTTTCCCAGAATTTCAAATTTTTCCAATAGAAAATTACAACATGAGGAATCTTGGAAATCAACCTAAAATAACTGAATTAATTGAAAATACAGTCTCACATATTTCAAAGTTTTCCTGGAAAACTAGGGAAGGGAAGATTTTGAAACTTTTTGCATGTAAAGAGGAAGCTCACATTTCTAAAATTTCAAATTTTTCTAGGAGAAAATAACAACATAAGAAATATTGGAAATCAACCTACAAAAACTGAATTAGTTGAAAATACAGTCTCAAATATTTCAAAGTTTTTCTGGAAAACTAGTGAAGAGAAAATTTTGAAACTTTTTGCATGTAAAGAGGAAGGTGAGAAGCTCATTTTCCCAAAATTTCAAATTTTTCCAGTGGAAAATTACAACATGAGGAATCTTGGAAATCAACCTACAATAACTGAATTAATTGAAAATACAGTCTTACACATTTCAAAGTTTTTCTGGAAAACTAGTGGAGGGAAAATTTTGAAACTTTTTGCATGTAAAGAGGAAGCTCACATTTCTAAAATTTCAAATTTTTCTAGGAGAAAATAACAACATAAGAAATATTGGAAATCAACCTACAAAAACTGAATTAGTTGAAAATACAGTCTCAAATATTTCAAAGTTTTTCTGGAAAACTAATGAAGAGAAAATTTTGAAACTTTTTGCATGTAAAGAGGAAGGTGAGAAGCTCATTTTCCCAAAATTTCAAATTTTTCCAGTGGAAAATTACAACATGAGGAATCTTGGAAATCAACCTACAATAACTGAATTAATTGAAAATACAGTCTCACATATTTCAAAGTTTTCCTGGAAAACTAGTTAAGGGAAAATTTTGAAACTTTTTGTATGTAGAGAAGAAGGTGAGAAGCTCATTTCCATGTCAGGACTCTAGAATTTCCTTTAAATTCCTCACAAATTTTCCCAAATTCCACATAAAAATTCTTTCAAATTCCCTATAAATTTCCTAAATTCTCATAAATTCCGATGAGTTTCTTCAAATTCCCCACAAATTTCTTCAAATTTCCCACAGATTCCTCTAAATTCCCCACATTTTTGGTAAAGAATTCCTAGGTCCATCTGTGGTATTTACGTAGCATGTTGCATGTTCGATGTTTCATTGGTGTACGACCGCACTTAAACTGTTAACTGACACAGTAATGTCGTATACCTGTCTTTATTATTCGAATGACTTTGCTCAGTCTCAGACCCTGTAGTATTAGTAGCTGTAGTGTTAGTACTATGCTGATCCTTCCTACGACTTCTTTTTTCCAAAGACAACTTGACTTCGGTTTTCAACCTGCATAAAAACACATTTTTTCTCAAACAACAACAACATATATCCTATTCACAATTTGTAGTCCAAAGGTACAGGTAAATTTATCATCTTTCCCTATCAAATAGCATTGAAAGGTGATAAATTTCACCTATACTTTTGGACTGCAGATTGTGAATAGATAACAAACAAAATTTACCTTAAATATTTCTCTTTCAAACACCGATATTTGTCTTCCAGAAGCCTCTTTTCGCATCGTAATTTCTCAAATTGCCGATCCTCTTGCTCAGTTTCCTTGCTTCTGAGCTTAAGCATTTCAACCTGATGCTTTTGCTTCAATATTTGCTCTTCAATTTTAAATTCCCGCTTGATTTCATCCATTATGATTGAGTGATTTTGCCTTAACTGCTCCAAATCGGAGTTGTGGTTGAAAACTATTTCCTCCTTTTGTTTTTCAACCCTGTCAGCTAAATTCTTTTCAATTTCAACCAATTTGTCTTCGTAATACTTTTCTAATTCTTCTTTTTTTGTCTCATAATGCTCCTTGATTCTAGCTTGCTCAAGTTGCAACTTGTTTTCCATTTCGCTTGTAAATTCTGCAATTTTCTTATCGTAATTCAGTCTTTCTTCTTTGGTCCTTATATCCAATTCAGTCTTTAAATTTGACTTTTCTTCGTCTAAAATCCTATCTAACTCGTATTTGTGAGACTCTTCTAGTTTCGACTTGAAGCTGGCTAGTTCTTCGTTTTTTTCTTGCCAGAGTTTTTGTTTGATTGAAGCAAGTTTCTTGTCAATTAGATTTTCATCAGGACTAGAATCATCATCATTATTAATTAATTTTTCCAAGCTTTTAGTGTCTTCTTCCGAATCTGATCCAGCATTTATAGTCAATTTTGGTGGTACTTTAATGAGTTTTTTAGAAGGATTATTTTCAACTACAGCAGTAACTGAAAATCTATTATTTATCAATAATGGTTTGTCGCTTATATTCAAATCATCATCGCTGGTACTTTTGTCTGAAAATGTTATACCCAAATCAGTTAGATTGTTATCCAAATTAAACCTCACACTTTTCCTATCGTCGTCATCATTAAGTGAAACCTTATCAAATTCCATGCTTTTTGAATGCTCAACACTTCTATCTCGTAAAATACTTTTGGGCAAATCCAAAGCTTCACTTTTTTGTCCAGGACTACTGATAGGCTCAGTTTTTCTTGTGTTGGACTTAAGAAACATTGCTCCACCTCCAGTAACTTTAAGCTCCATTTTTTCCATTGCTCTAGGATGTCGATCAAATTTGCTCTCTTCATCAAAGCTGCTGAATTTGTGCAAAAACTTGTTGCTACCAATCAGAATGTCTTCTGAACGTTGTTTAAGGAGTTTGGAGTCATGTTTCAGCGGTGACAAACGAATCATTTTGCCCACCACTTCTTCTTCGTAACTTTTCAGTTCGTCTTCTTTGGCATATGTTGCATCTTCGGTTGGTTCGTTTATGGAATATGATTGGCTGTCCGCTCGGACTTTTTGGACGATGTTGCGATAGATATCGTCCAACGGGTGTTCCCATTGCGTTTTTTTCGTTATTTGGTTGTAGTAGTAGTAGGATTTTGATTTGTCGTCGTAACTGGAAAGGGTAAAGTAACTCAGAAACAAGTTCTCGATACGATATATTGCATTTAAGATGTCTACAAATGGTATTCAATAAGTCTTAAAGATATCTGCATTACGCCTGAAGACCAAAAGAAGGTGTTTAAAAGAATGTCTTAGAAAACTGCGTCTTACGCAGACGACAAACTTAAAAATAGCGTAACAACAATCGATATATTCATGGTGAAGTCTTGAGGGTGTCTGGAATAATTTCAAGTACTTTTTTTACATGGGGATTTTGGAAACCATTGAAGTATATTGTATAGTAAAATGTCCACAAATGACATTCGAGATGTCTAGAATCCTTTATGATTTTAGATAACTTTGAAAGGTCGTAACTTTTTTTCTATTGAAGATAGAAAGCTGAAATTTTCAGCGATTCTTATACAAGTAGGGGATTATAATACCTGAAAATGTCACCTCATTTGGACTTAAGTTCCAGAAATAAAATCGCGTTAAGCAATTTGGGGTAAATTTGGTAATTTTTCAATTTTCTGAATGTCTTTGTTCATAGAATCTGGCTCCAAATCTCAGAATAATTTAATACATGGAGTTTGGGAGGTTTCCAATGATCATTCAAAAAAAATTAAATTTCCATCATTCTAGTACTAAGGTAACTACTACATGGGTACAAACTAACAAAATCGACTCAGCAAACAAACTAGAAAATCCCATTAAAATCCCAGACATTTGATTACCCAACTTTTTTCCCATTTGGTCCAGCCTGTGTATCTTCAATGGTTTCCAAAACCCCCATGTACATACAAATAAGTGGATTATTGCGGAACTTATGGGTGGACCTCTGCGGGACGAGCGCAGCGAGTTCCGCAGCCATCTACTCACCAATATACTGTTGAACTATTGAAGTAAGATATTCACCTGAAACATGTAGTTTCTAATGAGAATAACTCACATTTGAGTGAGTCAGGTTAGTATTATAATTAAACAACATATTGATGAATAGATGGCTGCGGAACTCGCTGCGCTCGTCCCGCAGAGGTCCACCCATAAGTTCCGCAACAATTCATTCATTTTTACTTGAATAACTTGTCACATTATGTTACTAGTTACTAGTTTGGTAAAGTAACATTACTAATTCCTGTTGAAAGGCAAATTGACAAAAAGTGAATAATCATAATCTTACAAATTTTAACTTTAAGTTATTGTTCAAGTACAAATAAGTGGATTATTGCGATACTTATGGGTGGACCTCTGCGGGACGAGCGCAGCGAGTTCCGCAGCCATCTACTCACCAATATACCGTTGAACTATTCAAATAAGACACTCACTTGAAACGTGTAGTTTTTGAACTAATGAGAAATAACTGACATTTGAGTGAGTCAGGTTAGTATCGTACTTGAACAACGTATTAGACTATTCAAGGCTGTCAAACTTAAATTAAAATGTCTCCTTCATCGTTAAATTAAAATGTCTGTTTGTTTGTCAAAGTCACGTGTTTTGGATAGACTAATTAATGAATAGAATGTAAAGGTGGGGTGTCAATACTGTCAATATATAAAAAAACACCCTGTATCTACTTCAAGTTTGTATAAGAACATTCCACCAAAAGATGTGCCAGACACACCTTGTATATTTCTCAATAATCCAACAGACATTCTCATCTTTAATATTTTTTCCACAAGTCATTAATCTAAGTAATATTCATTCATATAAATACAGGGTGTTCCATTGAAAAAACAAGTAAAAAAACAAATTGTGTTTGTCATAATATTTTTTGCGTACACCCTATACATATTATAGGAAAATTATACCTGCTTGCGGTCAACCCTGTACATACATATAATATGTATATTTTAATTTAAATATGCCTTTTACATTTGATTTGATGTTGTATCTAAGATATCCACAAATGGTATTCAATAAGTCTTAAAGACAATTTAAAGATGTCGTTTGTTATGAAACAAGACAAAACTCACCATGTTTCCAGACAACTGTATTACGTCTGAGGACCAAAAGACGACGTTTAAAAGAATATCTTAGAAAACTACGTCTTACGCAGACGACAACTTAAAAATAGCGTAACAACAATCAACAGATTAGTGGGATTGCTTTATCCATTACTTAACAAGGACAGTAAACTAACTTTAAAAAACAAACTATTACTGTACAAACAAGTTATCAGACCTACTGTACTTTACGGAGTAACAGTTTTTTCACAGCCAACACGTCAAAATAAAAGGAAACTGCAGGTGTTTCAAAACAAGGTAATCCGTAGTATGTCTGCAATGCTGACCTACATACGGACCTGAGCGTTGATACAATCCAGGAGTAACTTGTTGAGAAACATACGCGGTTTCTTGACAAAGTAACTAACCATATAAATGACATAGACGATAACTATACTATTAACCCTGACAGGATTATTTTCAGAAATCTAAAAGCTCTACTTCTCTTTTAGTGAATGAAATCTCTTTCCCTCCTTTCCCATCCTTCCTAACCTTTCCCCACTCCCCCTCCTTTTTCTGAACAAAAATTGACTTAAAACGCAACACATGGCAGTGAGTAGACTCACCCAAAATTGCTTGAGAGTGCTGTCGCACTAGCGCAGAATTAAACACCAAAGAAGAAGAGAACTTAAAGATATCGTTTGTTACAAAACCCAACGTCTTTCCAGACAGCACACAAAGTCTTAACGTCTGAAAACCAAAAAAAAAAAACGTTTAAAAGAATGTCTTAGAAAACTACGTCTTACGCAGACGACAAACTTAAACATAGCGTAACAACAATTGATATATTCATGGTGAGGTCTCCAGGGTGTCTAGAATAACTTGAAGTTCTGAGTTCTGAGTGATTTTTTTTATAGAATCCGGCGTCAAATCTCAGAATATACATGTATACAAAGTAAAAAAATCAACTCAGCAGGCAAACTATAGGATTAAAATCCCACTAGGAATCCCGGGCACTTGATTGCCCAACTTCCTCCCCATTTAGTCCACCCTGTGTATTTTCAATGGTTTCCAAAGTTCCTATGGACTTCAAGTTTGTATAAGAGAATGTGGCAGACATGATGAAACACCCTGTATGTTTTTCAATCCCTTTAATATTCATACAGGGTGGGGCACGAAAAACTTCTCACCCAGGCTTTCTCAGGTGTTAGGCGATTAATTAAAAATCGCTTGAACACGTAAATTTTTGTTTTTTTTACCCTGTCCAAATGGCGGCTTATCAAAGTTAGGAGAAATCAATGGAAAAATTTTGTGTGATTTTTACCTGTTACCTACGTATAGGTGTGACAGGTAAAAACTATACAGTTTAGATTATCGAAAAAAAGCATTTATCCTAACTTTCGCCATTTTGGCAGGGTAAATAGTAGCAACTTAAAACTTCGGGGATATAATCTTAATGAAAATAGCTACCAAATGATGTATCACTCGACCCCCCTTTTCATTTGAAATTTTGGGAATACTAATTGTTACCCCCATTTAAAGGTTGACAGGTAGGGGGTGAAAATACCAATCAAATATGTCCCCCAAAAAACAAAAATTTACGTGTCTGAGCGATTTTTGATTAAACACTTAACACCTGCGAAACTCTGGGTGGGAAGTTTTTCGTACCCCACCCTGTATAAAAATTATACCTGCTTGCGGTCAACCCTGTACATACATATAATATAGGGCAAGTTTTTAAAATCATCAATGTCACATGCGCATTTTCACCGATGTATTGCTGTCCTTGTCATTTGACAGCAGCTAAACAAGGATAGGTGGCCCATTAGGAGAAATGCGCTGTAGCAATTGATGAATTTAAAAACTTGCCCATATATTTTAACTTAAATATGTCTTTACATTTGATTTAATTTGAGGAGAAGTCACACGCAATACTTTTGAAGAGATCCGGCAACGTCGATGTGAAACCCACTCCCATAAGCTTTAGATAGCTAAACGATTATTTCTGTCTTCTTTTCTCTAATACGTCAAGAGAGAAACGGAATATGAGCACGCACAACAGGGCCTATCTAACCTCACTCTAACAACGTTTATCCAGTTTATCGTAAACGTAAATAACAATACAAAAATTGCTATTTAAGATGCAATTAATAAATTATCAATGAAGTGTCTATTAAATAAAAACCCCATAAGTATTGGTAAACATTTAATCAAAACCCTTACAACATTCCCAATCCCGATGGGCGATTCTACCGAAATTAAAAAACCGAAATACGACGGTAGATCGAAGAAACGGCAATGGCAAGACCGCAGATCAGACAATAGTGCGAAACTTTTAAAAATCGACGCAACTTCAACTTCAACACAACCTTTACCGGACAAGATAAAGCGTCGCAAATACGCAATTCTAATGGGCTACTCTGGAGTAGATTATTACGGCATGCAACGAAACCCCAACACAAAAACCATAGAAGAAGAATTATTCAAAACCTTATTTGATTGTGATTTTATAGATCAGTTATGTTATGATCAAGTGCAAAACATGCAATTTCAACGAGCTGCTAGAACTGATAAAGGAGTAAGTGCTGCAAGGCAAGTTGTCTCTTTAAAACTAAAAGAAACCTTCAATATTGAAGCTGTTAATGAAAAACTTAGCAGCCAAATTAGGTTGTTTGCTTCTAAACGGGTTACTAAAGGGTTTAATTCAAAAACCCAATGCGATGGTAGGACATATATTTATGTTACACCTTCAGTTGTATTTAGTGATCAGCAAGATCTACCTCAGCAAAAAGGTTTTAGAATATCACAGCAACTTTTGGATAAAATTAATGAAACCTTAGCATTGTATGTAGGCACTAAAAGCTTCCATAATTTTACAATTAAAAAAAAGTATGGAGATCCTAGTGCCAAACGTTTTATAAAAGCTTTTACTTGTGAACCAACTTTTATTGAAAACGATGTTGAATTTTGCACCCTCAAAGTCCATGGGCAAAGCTTCATGATGCATCAAATCCGGAAAATGGTTGGACTTGTTTTGGCTGTGATGCGCGGCCAAGCAACATTGGAAGTTGTTGCTAAAGCTATTGGAGAAGATAAGGTCAACATTCCCAGAGCACCAGGTAATATAATATCTGGATTTAGAGTTAGAGTTTACTATTTGGACTTTTGGTAGCACCAAGGGACTTTCAACATCTTATTGGTTCTTATTAATAGGGTCTTAGGCCTGGTTGTATCAAAAAAGTTATGCTATTACTTGATCTTTCCTTACTAAAAGTATTTGTTCTACTGAATGAATATATGGTGCAACCAGGCCTTAAGAGTCAAAGTGTCACTGCTGGAAACTTCATTCAATAATAATATAGATTGTTACATGATATGTTTCCTCTGAAAACTCAAAAATCATTAATATTTTTTTTTCAGGTTTAGGTTTACTTTTAAACTATGTCCACTATGATCGCTACAACTTCAAATACGGTTCAGATGGTATGCACGAAACCCTCACCTGGGAAGAAGTAGACCAACAAGTAGAAGAATTCAAACATCGCCAAATCTTGCCTACCATCATTAACACAGAAATAGCAGAAGAACAAATGGTTTGGTGGGTCAAAAACAAACTAGCAAGACATTCTTTTGACGATGAAGAAAGTGACGATGAACAATAATGTTAAAACCGCATATAAATAAACAAATTATTTAGTTTTTTTGTATTTATTACCAAGGTTTCCAATTGGCTGGCAGGGCTTTCATAAGGCCCTCAGTGGCTAAGGGCAGGAGTTGGGGCTCCGAATCGGGATCTATACCGATTTTAATAGCATAATCACGAACTTCTGCAATATAAACAAGTTTTACATATCTACAAACACAAAATCCGGTGAATGTAAACAAACCTTCTACTGAGGGATGACTGGCCTCGTCGAAAATCTCCTTGCAAACAATCGACATTGTTCAAATTATTATATGATTCAACCCTTTGCCATTTATATATTGTATTTGCCCCGTTGTTTTTTTGTTAAAAATAAATCAACTTGTGACATACATTTCGCCGATCGAAGGACATTTTTAAAAGGGTTAACGACCTAACGCGACATCTGCTGGCAAAGGTGTCTAAAATCGATAGCCTACTGGGGTTGAATTTGAATATTTAAATTGTCCTTTACATAGTGGCGCTATCTAGTGAAAATTTCTGTAGTGGTTGGACAAAAATTCTGGAAATTAAACCCTTCAAAAAAGTCCCCCTACAATTCGGATTCGAATTTTCCCTTTGCTGCTCGCAATACTCTTTATACAGTGGGACTAGTTACGGCGTACATTCGATCGACCTACGAACGAATGCAGAACCATACATACGAAAATATATGAAACTGTATGATTATTCAAAAACTGTACCTACATAGGAAACTGTTTGAAAACGTCTTTTTGTTTCGGAGACTGCGAGCCCGAAGGGCCGGAGTTTTTATAGTTTCTATCGCTCGATCTATATGGGTTCGAAATCTAAAAAACTCTGTACTGTACCTATAACATAGGAAACTGTATGATTATTCAAAAACTGTACATAGCATGGAAAGATTTCCCCATAAGATTAAATTCATACTAACTATGGAAAGGTTATTGAGGCCTCAAGCCGAGAACTACTCAAAAACCTCGTTTCCAGTTACGACAAATCAAAATCCTACTACATAATATAATACTCTACAAACATTTTTTTTACTCAAAAACTGAAGTGAGTGGAAAGTTGAAATTTTGAGGATATTTTCCTAAAGATTCAATGCAAAAAATACTAAAAACTCAAAGGGATTGAGTCATTATTAATGGAGTTATGACTTTTTTAAAATAATGATGTTTTGTAAAGTAATACATACTCTATAAACAATTTTTTCACTCAAAAATTGAAGTGAGTGTAGAGTTGAAATTTTGAGAACTTTTTCCTAAAGATTCAATGTAAAAAATACCAAAAACTCAAAGCGATTGAGTTATTAATGGAGTTATGACTTTTTTGAAATAATGATGTTTTGTAAAGTAATACTCTACAAACAATTTTTTCACTCAAAAACTAAAGTGAGTAGAAAGTTGAAATTTTGAGGACTATTTCCTAAAGATTCAATGTAAAAAATACTAAAAACTCAAAGGGATTGAGTCATTATTAATGGAGTTATGACTTTTTTAAAATAATGATGTTTTGTAAAGTAATACTCTACAAACAATTTTTTCACTCAAAAACTAAAGTGAGTAGAAAGTTGAAATTTTGAGGACTATTTCCTAAAGATTCAATGTAAAAAATACTAAAAACTCAAAGGGATTGAGTCATTATTAATGGAGTTATGACTTTTTTAAAATAATGATGTTTTGTAAAGTAATACTCTACAAACATTTTTTTCACTCAAAAACTAAAGTGAGTGTAGAGTTGAAATTTTGAGGACTTTTTCTTAAAGATTCAATGTAAAAAATACTAAAAACTCAAAGAGATTGAGTTAATATTACTGTAGTTATGACTTTTTTAAAATAATGATGTTTTGTAAAGTAATACTCTACAAACAATTTTTTCACTCAAAAACTAAAGTGAGTAGAAAGTTGAAATTTTGAGGACTATTTCCTAAAGATTCAATGTAAAAAATACTAAAAACTCAAAGGGATTGAGTCATTATTAATGGAGTTATGACTTTTTTAAAATAATGATGTTTTGTAAAGTAATACTCTACAAACAATTTTTTCACTCAAAAACTAAAGTGAGTAGAAAGTTGAAATTTTGAGGACTATTTCCTAAAGATTCAATGTAAAAAATACTAAAAACTCAAAGGGATTGAGTCATTATTAATGGAGTTATGACTTTTTTAAAATAATGATGTTTTGTAAAGTAATACTCTACAAACATTTTTTTCACTCAAAAACTAAAGTGAGTGTAGAGTTGAAATTTTGAGGACTTTTTCTTAAAGATTCAATGTAAAAAATACTAAAAACTCAAAGAGATTGAGTTAATATTACTGTAGTTATGACTTTTTTAAAATAATGATGTTTTGTAAAGTAATACTCTACAAACAATTTTTTCACTCAAAAACTAAAGTGAGTAGAAAGTTGAAATTTTGAGGACTATTTCCTAAAGATTCAATGTAAAAAATACTAAAAACTCAAAGGGATTGAGTCATTATTAATGGAGTTATGACTTTTTTAAAATAATGATGTTTTGTAAAGTAATACTCTACAAACATTTTTTTCACTCAAAAACTAAAGTGAGTGTAGAGTTGAAATTTTGAGGACTTTTTCTTAAAGATTCAATGTAAAAAATACTAAAAACTCAAAGAGATTGAGTTAATATTACTGTAGTTATGACTTTTTTAAAATAATGATGTTTTGTAAAGTAATACTCTACAAACAATTTTTTCACTCAAAAACTAAAGTGAGTAGAAAGTTGAAATTTTGAGGACTATTTCCTAAAGATTCAATGTAAAAAATACTAAAAACTCAAAGGGATTGAGTCATTATTAATGGAGTTATGACTTTTTTAAAATAATGATGTTTTGTAAAGTAATACTCTACAAACAATTTTTTCACTCAAAAACTAAAGTGAGTAGAAAGTTGAAATTTTGAGGACTATTTCCTAAAGATTCAATGTAAAAAATACTAAAAACTCAAAGGGATTGAGTCATTATTAATGGAGTTATGACTTTTTTAAAATAATGATGTTTTGTAAAGTAATACTCTACAAACAATTTTTTCACTCAAAAACTAAAGTGAGTAGAAAGTTGAAATTTTGAGGACTATTTCCTAAAGATTCAATGTAAAAAATACTAAAAACTCAAAGGGATTGAGTCATTATTAATGGAGTTATGACTTTTTTAAAATAATGATGTTTTGTAAAGTAATACTCTACAAACATTTTTTTCACTCAAAAACTAAAGTGAGTGTAGAGTTGAAATTTTGAGGACTTTTTCTTAAAGATTCAATGTAAAAAATACTAAAAACTCAAAGAGATTGAGTTAATATTACTGTAGTTATGACTTTTTTAAAATAATGATGTTTTGTAAAGTAATACTCTACAAACAATTTTTTCACTCAAAAACTAAAGTGAGTAGAAAGTTGAAATTTTGAGGACTATTTCCTAAAGATTCAATGTAAAAAATACTAAAAACTCAAAGGGATTGAGTCATTATTAATGGAGTTATGACTTTTTTAAAATAATGATGTTTTGTAAAGTAATACTCTACAAACAATTTTTTCACTCAAAAACTAAAGTGAGTAGAAAGTTGAAATTTTGAGGACTATTTCCTAAAGATTCAATGTAAAAAATACTAAAAACTCAAAGGGATTGAGTCATTATTAATGGAGTTATGACTTTTTTAAAATAATGATGTTTTGTAAAGTAATACTCTACAAACATTTTTTTCACTCAAAAACTAAAGTGAGTGTAGAGTTGAAATTTTGAGGACTTTTTCTTAAAGATTCAATGTAAAAAATACTAAAAACTCAAAGAGATTGAGTTAATATTACTGTAGTTATGACTTTTTTAAAATAATGATGTTTTGTAAAGTAATACTCTACAAACAATTTTTTCACTCAAAAACTAAAGTGAGTAGAAAGTTGAAATTTTGAGGACTATTTCCTAAAGATTCAATGTAAAAAATACTAAAAACTCAAAGGGATTGAGTCATTATTAATGGAGTTATGACTTTTTTAAAATAATGATGTTTTGTAAAGTAATAGGTACTCTACAAACATTTTTTTCACTCAAAAACTAAAGTGAGTGTAGAGTTGAAATTTTGAGGACTTTTTCTTAAAGATTCAATGTAAAAAATACTAAAAACTCAAAGAGATTGAGTTAATATTACTGTAGTTATGACTTTTTTAAAATAATGATGTTTTGTAAAGTAATACTCTACAAACAATTTTTTCACTCAAAAACTAAAGTGAGTAGAAAGTTGAAATTTTGAGGACTATTTCCTAAAGATTCAATGTAAAAAATACTAAAAACTCAAAGGGATTGAGTCATTATTAATGGAGTTATGACTTTTTTAAAATAATGATGTTTTGTAAAGTAATACTCTACAAACAATTTTTTCACTCAAAAACTAAAGTGAGTAGAAAGTTGAAATTTTGAGGACTATTTCCTAAAGATTCAATGTAAAAAATACTAAAAACTCAAAGGGATTGAGTCATTATTAATGGAGTTATGACTTTTTTAAAATAATGATGTTTTGTAAAGTAATACTCTACAAACAATTTTTTCACTCAAAAACTAAAGTGAGTAGAAAGTTGAAATTTTGAGGACTATTTCCTAAAGATTCAATGTAAAAAATACTAAAAACTCAAAGGGATTGAGTCATTATTAATGGAGTTAAGACTTTTTTAAAATAATGATGTTTTGTAAAGTAATACTCTACAAACATTTTTTTCACTCAAAAACTAAAGTGAGTGTAGAGTTGAAATTTTGAGGACTTTTTGTTAAAGATTCAATGTAAAAAATACTAAAAACTCAAAGGGATTGAGTTAATATTACTGTAGTTATGACTTTTTTAAAATAATGATGTTTTGTAAAGTAATACTCTACAAACAACTTTTCACTCAAAAACTAAAGTGAGTGGAAAGTTGAAATTTTGAGGACTATTTCCTAAGGATTCAATGTAAAAAATACTAAAAACTAAAAGGGATTGCGTTTATTATTAATGGAGTTATGACTTTTAAAATAAATGATGTTTTGTAAAGTAAAACTCTACAAACAATTTTTTCACTCAAAAACTAAAGTGAGTGGAAAGTTGAAATTTTGAGGACTTCTTCCTAAAGATTCAATGTAAAAAATACTAAAAACACAAAAGGATTGAGTTATTATTAATGGAGTTATGACTTTTTTTAAAATGATGATGTTTTGTAAAGTAATACCTATACTCTACAATTTTTTCACTCAAAAACTAAAGTAAGTGGAAAGTTGAAATTTTGAGGACTTTTTCTTGAAGATTCAATACAAAAAATACTAAAAACTCAATGGGATTGAGTTATTATTAATGAAGTTATGACTTTTTCAAAATAATGATGTTTTGTAAAGTAGGTAATAAGTCAATAATCCTAATAACCGTCCAGAGCTTCCTTGAAATCCGAGGACACCTTTATTGGCCTTAAATCTAAGACTATGATATACCTATTACCATCTTATTGCTCATGTTTTTTTTTCTTTCAAGAAAAACTTGGCAGCATTTTCGAAAAGGCCTTAGGGCATTCAAGAGCCTGGAATAGAGAAAATATTTAAATTCGTTCTCTTCAACAACTCTCCTCGATTTTGCCTCAATTTTCTATTTCCAATTTTCAATTATTTTTAGAGTTTCCTTCACATTTGTTATTCTCAATGTTTGTCCATTCCTCTGACTCTTGAATTTGGGCTTTCTTTTAAAATTTCTCTTAATGAATTGCATTCAAGAGCCTGGAATAGAGAATATATTTGAATTCGTACTATTCAGCAAATCTCCTCGAGTTTTCCTCAATTTCCTATGTCCATTTCTCAATTAATTATTATTAAAGTTTCTTTCACACTTGTTATCGTCAAGGTTAGTCAATTCCTGGCTCTTGAAATTGGGTTTTCTTTCAAAATTTCTCGAAATAAATTGCATTCAAGAGCCTGGAATAGACAAAATTTTTGAATTCATACTATTCAGCAAATCTCCTCGAGTTTTCCTCAATTTCCTATGTCTATTTTTCAATTAATTATTATTAAAGTTTCTTTCACACTTATTATCCTCAAGGTTTGTCAATTCCTGGCTCTTGAATTTTGGTTTTCTTTTCAAATTTCTCCAAATGAGTTGCATTCAAGAACATGGAAGATTAAAATCAACAAAGTTGTGGTGAGGCAAAATGAGTATTGGTGTCATTTTAAGGGCCGGTTTCTCAATAGCGAGTCACTTTCGGGTTAATTTTAACTCCAGGGTAAGCGTATCAAGTTGCTATGTTTACCCCAGAGTTATGCTTAACCCGGGGGTGACTCGCTATTGAGAAACCGGCCCTGAATGGAATACCTACAAACAAATGACTTGACAAATCTACATGAACTAGACAAAGATAGATACCTTTTGTAGTACATACAATACTTGAGACTCTTGGGAGTTTGACCTCACATTCCCAGATTTTATTAAAATGACTATATAACGCAATAATTCAAATGTGAAAGTGACCTAAGATATATGAAACCAAATAAGCTATACTTTGGTACACCACTGACTATAGAAAAATGTACCAAAGAACATTGACACACTAGAAAATCTTTACTTATAAGGCCCAAATAATAAATAAATAAAACAAAATAATTAATTTTTTAATTGTTTATTCATTACATTTTTATGTCAAAGTTAAAACAGCGCTAGCCTTAAGGGCCTTCCTCTCCTTAGCCTTAACTTGGGCAGCAATCCTGTCAACATCTCTTCTGCCTTGTTGGGTCAGTTTCCTGCCACCGTCAGCAGATTTTTCAATCAGTTTCAGACCTGTCAAAGACAAAATTATTAGTTAAATAGTACCAACAACAAGTAAATAAGTACCTTCTAAACTCTGCAAAGATTTGCGAGCAATGCTTCCAGCCGACTTGCAAAAGTGGGAAGGCTTGGTACCGTTGCGTTTACGGCTGCCAAAAATCTTGGTAACTGAACCCACTCCAATTGGGTTCCTGATGTAAATGTGCCTGATTACAGAGGAGCAACGTACAAAGTACCAGTCGGGGTCGTAGGGGGCCAATTCTTTTGCTCTAGAGGTTTTAACCAAGTCGATCCATTCTGGAACGCGTAGTTTACCAGTCCTAGATTTGTAGGTTAGAATTTTTTTCAAAAAGTTGTTAGTGGAAACTTACTTTTTCAAAAACTGGGCGAAGGCCTTTACGAATTTGTGCTGGTCGACGTCTTTGAGGGTTACCGAAGGCATGTTTCTGCAAAAATTGTTACAAGATAATGAGAAAGGCGTGCTAGGTTTTTGTAAGTTGAAAAATCGGGTATTTATAGGCTATCTAGGGCTTAGATTTGAAGGGTTTTAGATTGCTAACACAAAATAGTAAATAATTATTGAGTTTTTGTATAAATACCTTGATTTTTCTGTAAATTAGGGGGCGAAAAAGGGAAAATTATTTGCTCTAACCTGTCTTCTTGTCAATGGTTGACGCACGAAAAAGAACAAAAACAAGTGGGGCAAAAATGAAGTTACCTCGAGATACTGTTGTAATGTTTCTATCCTTGTTCTTCTTATTAAAAGGAAAAGAGATGAAAACTGCTCCGAGTGTTTACAGTGTTTCACGTTATTATTCATCAAGGATAATACACACTTATAGGATTGCTTATCCGCCTCGTTTTTATTAATCGACATCATATTGGTGTGTCACCGTTTATGACGTCATAACCAAGTCGTCAATCGCGAGATTGGCGAAAAATAACATGCTGTCTACGTCACAACTAGTGATTTGGCGAGGGGCGATTTGTTCCACAATTCACCGTAGTAGTGTGTATTATAGTGATTCTATTACCACAATGACGACAATTGTCGTCTTCTTGCTGATTTGGTTCTTTACAATCCCATATATTCATATGGAAAACGCCGCTATTTTGTGCGCAACCTTTCATAACTCGAGGGCGGAAGGCCAAATTTATTTTAGTACGAGCCCGAAGGGCCGGAGTTATTTTAATCACGAGCCCGAAGGACCGGAGTCTATAGACAATAATTCTACTAACTGAATGGTACCAATTACCCAAGGATGATATACTCTTTTAGATTGTTTATGGGTGACACCCCAATATGGCGGCGATTACCAAAAACAAGGCGCAATGATGTAGGTGTGTAACATCCTTGGATAACTGGTACCATTCACTCAGTAGAATTATAGTCTATAAACTGGGTTCCGGCCCTTCGGGCTCGTGATTAAAATAACTTTGGCCCTTCGGGCTCGTGATTAAAATAACTCCGGCCCTTCGGGCTCGTATAACTCCGGTTCTTTGGACTCGTATAACTCCGGCCCTTCGGGCTCGTATAACTCTGACTTCTTTGTTTCGTTGGCCTATGGGCTCAAGATTGAAAACATGTGTGCCCTTCAAGCTCGTGAAAAAGACATCATTTCAACCCAAGAATGATACACACCCGAACGATTGCTTATCGGTCTCGTTTTTGATAATCGCCGCCATATTGGTGTCATCATTTTTGACGTCATAACTCAGTCATCAGCTATTTAAACCTTAGAGCAGGTAAAGCGCTGTCCTACGGACATAGGGAGTAGGAATGCGCCATTCTGCTTATGAAACTTATGGCGTTTCCGATTGGTAGATTCAGTGCGCACTGGGTGTATTTGCATCCTTTTAATCGACCTGTAGAAGAAAAAGACAGAGATAGAAAAAATTGCACTAGTTCCGCACTAAATCTACCAATCGGAAACGCCATTAAGTGAAACCAAGTTTTTGGCAGGTGTTTGGCACCAAAATACAGGGTAAAGCCATAGGGTAAAGCATTGAATTTCCTATACCGCTTTTTTTTTTTGGTGCCAAAATACCTGGAAAAAACCGGATTCATTTTCCAACTCCATGTTACTCCCACTACTCCTTTACCTTTACTTTACCTGTTCTAAGGTTTAAACAGTCTACGTCAAGATGAGAAATGACATGCTGTCTACGTCACAACTGGTTATTTGGCGAGGGGGATTTGTTCCAAAATCCACACAGGCCATATGAGTATGGGCCATTTTGTAGTAGTAGTGTGTATCATCCGTATCATCCTTGGATTTGACGTTCTCTGAATTCAATATGGCGCCGTGGGAATAACACACCTGACAATTGTAATTTGACGTTTTAATATTCAAATTTTCAAAATTCCCGGCTCTCGATTCAAGAGCCGAGAATAGAAAAAAAAAAATTCAAATAATGCCAACCTCAAAAGAAAAAAAAAAGCTAATAATTTTTTTTCTATTTTGGAGATTGACAACACTTTTAATTGCAACAAAGTGGTCACCTTTGACACTTGAATTTTTATTTATTTTTTCAAAGTTGGCAATAGGGCGACTCAACTTTCTCTCAATTCAATATGGCGCCGTGAAAATAACGCATTTGACAACTGTAATTTGCCGTTTTAAAATTCAAATTTCCAGAATTCCCGCCTCTCGATTCAAGAGCCGGGAATAGAAAAAAAAATACTTTAAAAATTCAAATAGTGCCAACCTTAAAAAAAAAAACACTGGCAATAAGCCGATTCGACTTTCTCTCAATTCAATATGGCGCCGTGGGAATAATACACCTATGAACCGTAAAGGCGCGTTTACATTGAATTTTCTTTCAAATTGCAATCAAAAATTTTGCGAAATTTGAGGCAAACGGACTGATCTTATTGTCTCTTTTCAATTGCGCAATACAGAAAGAGATAGTAATATCTAGTTGGGAAATAATCAACCTGATTACTCAGTTAATGTAATTTTTTCTTTTTTCAATTGTATTCATTGAAGAAAGATGGAAAACAAAATAGCCTGTGATTGGACTATTCCGTGAAAGCTTCTAAATAAAGCAGTTGGTAGTTGGCAAGGATTACAGTGGCTAAATAAAACTTTACATACAGTGGCGACAATAGAAGTCCTGCCGCCATCTTGTTCCCAACCTATTGTTACCTTTAAATATTAATATATAGGATTTAAATGAACATCTATCATAGAAAATTGAAATTGTACGTATCATCAAATACGTGTTTTCCATGATTTATGATGGATGTTCACCTAAATCCCATATATTCATATTTAAAAGTAACAAGAGGTTGGGAACAAGATGGCGGCGTTTTCAATATAAATATATGGGATTTTAGAACCAATCAAAAATGAGACAGCAGTTGTCGCCACTGTGGGTAATAGAGTCACTGTAGCAAGGATGATACACACTACTATTTACTACAGGACGGCCTATCTTCATAAGGCCTATGTGTGCAACAAATCTCACTCTTCCCCCTCCCTCCCGCCAAATCACCAGTTGTGACGTAGCAGCATGTTATTTTTCGCCTTGACGTAGGCTGTTTAAACAGCTGACGATTTAGTTATGACGTCGGAAATGGTGACACACCATTATGGTGGCGATTACCAAAAACGAGGCCGATAAGCAATCCTGTAGGTGTGAATCATTCTTGGTGATTAAAATAACTTCGGCCCTTCGGGCTTGTATAACTCCGGCCCTTCGGGCTCGTGATTGAAGTTACTGCGGCCCTTCGGGCTCATATAACTCCGGCCCTCTGGGCCGTATAACTCCGGCCCTTTCGGCCGAAAAACACCGGCTCTTTCTGCCGAAAAACACCGGCCCTTTGAGCCTTACAACTCCGGCCCTTTGGGCCCTATAACTCCGGCCCTTCGGGCTCGTGATTGAAATTACCATGGCCTTCTGGGCTGTGGGCTGGAAATTTAAAAAAAAACATATGACAACACTGCTTATGACACAACAAACGTCAAAAAATTGACATTTCAAAGTAGGCCTTGTTTTCTTAGATAGTCAATATAAAATGACGTTTTTTTTGTTTTGTTTCCCTGTGGAATCAAAATTGCAAACTCTCTTGACTTTTAAGCTCGTGAAAAAGACGTCATTTCAATCCAAGGAGGATTCACATCTACACTCGTTTTTGGTAATCGCCGCCATATTGGTGTGTCACCATGTTTGACGTCATAATTAAGTCGTCAGCTGTTTAAGGGCCAAATTTATAGTCGCTCCTTGAGGTTTCCTCAGACCTTAAAGGGGGTGTGCGCCAGAAAAACATCTTCATCTAAAAAAAAAGAGAAAAAAAATCTAAGAATAACAGTGAAAACCGCACCCCTTTATGACAAATAATACCGAAGACTCCATCACCATATGACGTCACGAAAGCTCAAGCGACGTACGAGAAAGTGAAGTAAATTGAAATTACATATGTTTTGCCTGTGTCACCTGCAATAATTTGAACAAAAACCACCCACGTGTGCCCGGAACAATAAAATTAACAAATGGACAAAGCTCTAGTGACGTCAGACACATTTTAAAGCGGTATATCTCAGCGATGGTTTGTCGTAGAATAACGAGGTTTGAACAGTTATTCTTAGATTTTTTTACATTAAAACTTCAATTTTTGGCGCACACCCCCTTTAAGGAAGCCTTAAGCGTTTAGAATTTCCATGACTAACTTGTCAAATAATAGTAAGTGTTCATTCTAAACTCACGACCTTCAAGGAAGAGCCAAGGACCAACTATAAATTCGGCCCTAAACAGTCTCTACGTCAACGCGAGAAATGCCTACCTAGGTCACAACTGGTGATTTGTCAGGGGGCGATTTGTTTCACACAGGCCTTATGAAGAAAGGCTGTCCTATAGTAGTGTGTATTATCCTTGATTACTTATGTCAGTGTTGCTACAATAACAGCCGGCAACATCGCAATTGATTGTCAAAATCAAACAAAAGTGAGGTTATAGTAAATAACAATCCAAAATATACAACTCATTCTCATTATTTTGTCTCTTAAACTTAAATATTATTATTGAAAAATGACTAAAATCAACGAAGTAACGTCCCTGTACAAACAACTAAAAGCCGAATGGACTTCGCACAAAAACCTAAGCAAATGCGAAAAACTCCTCTCCGAATTGAAGGTAACAACTTAACAAAAACCCCCTAAACAAAGAATTTCATCATTTCTACATAAACTACTCCCTTTCAGCTGGAACTTACCCAACTAATATTCTTGCCCACTTCAAACGTAAGCGCCTCCCAACAAGAATTACTCCTGGCCAGAGACGTATTGGAAATTGGAGTGCAATGGGCCATTGAGGCTAACAACATTCCGGCCTTTGAAAGGTACATGGCCCAATTGAAATGCTACTATTTCGATTACCAAACCCAACTGGAAGAGTCGGCCTACAAGTACCAACTTCTAGGCTTAAACTTGTTGTTTTTACTAAGCCAAAACCGTGTAGCTGAGTTTCATAACGAGCTTGAACTATTGCCTGTTGATCATATTCAAAACGATGTTTACATAAGGCATCCTTTGAGTATTGAGCAGTATTTGATGGAGGGTAGCTACAATAAGATTTTTTTGGCCAAGGGCAACGTGCCAGCTAAAAGCTACAACTTGTTTATGGACATTTTGCTTGACACTATTCGTGGAGAAATTGCTGCTTGTCTTGAAAGCTCTTATGAGAAAATTTCAGCTAAAGATGCTGCAAGGATGTTGTATTTGCAGAGTGAGGAAGCTTTAAAGTCTATTGCAACAAAGGTTTGATTAATGTGTATTTTTGGGTAATAATTAATTGGTTCTATTGCAGAGGAAGTGGACATTGGGCAAGGGTAATTTCTTCCACTTTACTCCTGAAGTTAAAAAGACTCATGAGCCTATTCCTTCTGTGGAATTGGCTGTTCAAGCTGTTGAGTACGCTAAGGAATTGGAAATGATTGTTTAAATATTATTAGTTTTAATAAACATATTTAGTTTAAAGGGATACAGTGTTGCTTGTTTTCACCCATAAAATCCCCATTGCCTTGAATTACCCAAAATGAAAAAATATGTGGCAACGTTGCTTCAAAAGTCACCCTGTTACATCTCTTTTTAACCTCAAACAATAAACAAAGACAACTAGTGATCTCATTATTCAAAACAACTACAACAGCTTGTTGAACGTAAACAAAGGGGTGTTATCCTATATTGTAGCGGGAAAATCAAGTTTCGTGAACGGTTTATTTGGCTGTCAAACATAAGGGTTGTTGTGTTGTTGGGGCGTTATGGAAGTTGAAGTGGAAAATTTGCCCAGAAGGTCTCTAAGGCTGGCCCTTAGTGAAATAAACGAAAGGGCCCCTGAAGAAAGCACCCCCAGCAAAACTACTAATGTAGAGGAATTGCTGGTATTGCAAAGGGGACCCAGAAAAATACCAATCACTTGGTCTCCTGTAGAATATAACAGGTAAGTTGCTATTTGTATGTTGCTATTTGACTTATGCTGTCAAAAAAATAAATAAAAAAAATAGGTTATGTTATGTGTTTGGGGGTGTTTCAATTCAATTCAATTTGTCCCCCGGTTTAAGTTTTATATACAAATAAAATGAGTAAAGAAGAACCTGATCCAGATTTTGGAGGTAAAGGAGAAACGTCTAAAACCTCCATGCAAATTTTGTCTGAGTTGTTTAGCAGTTTTGATGCCGAGCCCCCTGTTATAGTAAAAAAGGAGAAATCCGATAGTAGTAGTGTAAAGAAGCACAAGAAAAGCAAAAAGAAGCGTAAGCACAAGGAGAAGAAGCACAAGAAGAAGAGTAAGAAAAAGAAGCGTTCTAGTAGCTCTTCGTCTAGTTCATCATCAAACGATGACAAAGAGGTTTTAGATTTAGCCCAGCTACTAATCAAGCAAGAGAAGGACAACGCTGAAGAGAAAATAAAAATCGAAGGTACATCTCTGTCTTTGGGTATTAAGTTGGAAATCAACAACAAAAACCGCGAAGACAAAAATGAACCAGAAGAATCTAAAACAATCAAAAAAGAAGTCAAACAAGAAGAAAAACCAAAGAAACACAAACACAAAGAAAAATCCAGGAAACGACAAAGTTGCAGTCCAGCAGAAAGACCTAAAACTAAAGAAAAACGCGCCAAATATGAACAATTTGACTTGAGACAAAAACTCAAAGAAAAATCAAGCCCCGAACGTAAACGCACCTTTAGAAGCCCTAAACGAGACAAATACTCCCACAGAGAAGACCACAGAAGCAGATACAGAGAACGCGAATCCTCCCCTCAATACAAAGATGATGGATTTTACAGGTCCAGGTCCAGAGACCGCTGGATATCGTCCAGGGAACGTTACAGGAGCCGCGATAGGTCTCTAGTTAAAGAAGACAAATCGCGATTTGACAAAAAGAAATTACTGGAAATTGCCCGCAAAAATGCTATGCAAATGATGAAGTCTGGTAGCCTACCAGGTGCATTAACCCTAGGCTCAAGAGCACAAGAAAAAATGATCGCTGCTATTAAATCAGGAGGCAAAACTGTTGAAGAATTGACAGATTTTTGTAAGTCTTTATCAAAAAAAGAAGAACTAGGTGAATTGTCTAGTCTATCAGAACCTGATGAGAGTGAAACTGAAGACGCCTTTCATCATCCTTTTAAGCTAAAAGACAGGCCAACTAATATTACAATGAATATTAAAAACGCTGTTCCTTTACCAACAAAGACATCTTTGGAAAGGACATCTGAACTAAGAATCCAATTTCCTGTAAGCAGTGGGCAGCAGCATAGAGTGAATGAGGAATGGGTGCCTGTCAAGGCAATTGAAGCAAAACCCCCCAAACCTGCAACAATTACAACTGCCCCATTACCAATAGAAGCCCCTCCAGAACCAAAACTAATCCCTGCTCCCCCAAACGCACCTCCCGGCCCGCAAATATTCCCCGATAAACTATCAGCAGTTGACATAAGCTCAATAGTAACCCAACGTCTAACAGCTATGCGCAAACTCCAAGAAAACCCCAACGATGTCCAGGCCTTAACTGAAATGTACAAGTCAAACAAAGAAATGGACGTTTGGGCTAAAAGCAAACAACAATTCGGCCAATTCACTGGATCAACAGGTGTGCAAGTCTTAAGCCAAGCTGAACTTGCATCTGGCTATCAGGCTTGGGCTAAAAAAGACCAGCTGCAAACAGCAGCCCCTGTTTCTGGGGGCATGGGCATGCACTTGCTGCAAAAAATGGGCTGGAAACCGGGCGAGGGTTTAGGAAAAGAGAAAACTGGCTCACTAGAGCCTTTATTGTTAGAAGTCAAACTAGATAAGAAAGGTTTGGTTGCCAACGAAGAACAAACCAGAGGCAAAAAGAAAGCAAAAGTTGTTCAAACTGTTAAAACTTTACAAGGCAAACATCCTGTTTCCTTATTGGGCGAATATGCTTCTAAGCGTAAATTGGGCGCACCTCAATACATTTTAGAATTCGAATGTGGGCCTGATCACAAAAAGAACTTTTTATTTAAAGTTATGCTAAATGGTATTGAGTATAAGCCTAATGTGGCTAGTGCTAACAAAAAAGAAGCTAAAGCCTTTGCTGCAACAATGGCCCTTAAACAATTAGGATTACTTGTCTAAATTTACTATATTGAGGCACTAATTGGTGAGCCATTGAGAATTGTGGAATAATTAATTAGTTTGTTTGTTTTAGGACTAAATTGTTGGGTCCTCCAAGGGACAAAACTCCCGAGCCGCAGCCGCGCAAGTCCGACATTCATCCGCGATTAAGAAGGAGATTGATTATGTCTCCTGAGAAAAATCAATCGCAGGAATTGGGGCACTTTATCGCCAAGAAATTGAAGAACTTGCAACAGAATCTCGAGGCTGCCACAGTTAAAGTCAACTAGAAGACTGATTTGTTTTTAATGTATTGTCCATTAGTGCCTTAGTATGATAAGTTTTAGCATAATGTCTTAGTGTTTTTCAACACTTGAAAGTATTTTATTAAATAAATAAATGGAAAATTGTTTTATAGATATATCAGTTGTGGTTTCAATGACATCTTCATCATTATCATCTTCAGTTTCTTTCTGTCCCCTCTTCAATTGGGTTCCACCTTATTCTTGGCCGTCCTGGGTTCCTTTTAGTTGCTATAGGCCTCTACTCAGTTGTCTTTTTGGTCCATCTATTACCATTTGTTTTCAGTAAATGTCCAGCCTATTTTCATTTTAGTCTTGCCACCCATTTTGCGATGCCTATAATTTCTGTGTTTGCCTTTTGGTTTTGTAGTCGAGTTTCTAGCATTTTTCTCTCCATTTTCCTTTGGATAATCCTCAAATATTCCATGCTACCTTACCCTCATTCAGACTCCATGTTACTGTAGCGTGCGTTTACACGTTCACTGTTCTATGACCCATATATGGCCATCACCGACATAACATCGATTAATCTACTCGTTATCTACAGGGGATTCTGTAGTATATAAAGCAAAGTACAAATTTGACCCATATTTGGAACATGGACTTAAGCCTTTTGTTAATGAGCCTCATCATAACAAGGTAGGCAGTATGCCTGATAACATGCGGAACAATATGTTGAGGTTTCCTTGAACCATATATGACTCATAGGACTTTACGCATGTAAATTTTAGTTACAGAATATCATGACCCATATATGAGACATCATTTTTTTCATAGGGAGGATTACTATGCCTGGCTCATGTGATTTGGACAGCGAACGTGTTAAGGTCGGTAGGACACATTAGTTGAACACTGTGGAGATTTCGAATTAGGGATATCACTAAGCTTCTGTCAAAAGTCCATTGGGTACCCGCCAGTTTCTGGATGTCATCTTTCCACCTCGTTCTTGATCATTTTATTTGGTATTAGGCCTCCACTCAGTTGCCTTTTTGTTCCATCTATTACCATTTGTTTTCAGTAAATGTCCAGCCTATTTTCATTTTAGTCTTGCCACCCATTTTGCGATGTCTATAATTTCTGTGTTTGCCTTTTGGTTTTGTAGTCGAGTTCCTAGCATTTTTTTCTCCATTTTCTTTTGGACAATCCTCAAACATTCCATGCTACCTTACCCTCATTCAGGCTCCATGTTTCTTCAGCATACGTTAACACATCCACTGTCCATATATGGGTCATGCCTTATGTTTTTTTGCAAGTACTGTGCCCCATATTTGGCTCACATTTGGATTTTATCTCATATTCGGTTTTAAGACGGAATATCGTTTGTTATGGTGTAAGTGCACCGAGATCAGTATCACATGACCTACTCTGTGTTCTAGAGTGAATGAGCCTTGAGCTAATGAGTGAGAACATTATACTTGTCTCTGGAGTAGTATTTTATTTTGTCCACGCCATCACCGACATAACAGATCAATCTACTCCTGTTATCTACAGGGGACTCTGAAGTATATAAAGCAAGTAGGCAAAGTACAAATTTGTCCCATATTTGGAGCATGGGCTTAAGCCTTAAAGCATTGAGAACTTGGGTATTTTTTTTTTTTAATGAGCCTCATCATAACATGGTAGGCAGTATGCCTTAATTATAACATGCGGAGCAATATGTTAAACCATATATGACTCATAGGTCTCTACGCATGTAAATTTTAGCTACAGAATCTCATGACCCAAATATGAGACATCAGTTTTTTTCCTATGGAGGATTCTTGTGTCTGGCGGAAGTGATGGGTGATGGGTTGTCATTTGGACACCTTCCCAGACGACACTGAGTCGGAATCAGGTCATTGCGATTTCTTGTTTGATGGTCATGAAGGTCAGAGTGGGATATGAAGTCCGCCTCTTTCATCTTTAGAGAGATAATGAAATATTGATCACCCCGTATCTTTACACAGTGGTGAAATTGTTCTCGTTTACCATTTTCCGTGGAAAATTTCCTACAAGAGCCGGAAATAACAAAATATTGATCATACAGTGGCTTATTTTTGTTGAGTCAAATTACAGTGGGTAAAATTGTTATCTATTACCGGCTCTCGTGAAAGATTTTCTACCTCAAGAGCCAGAGATAATGAAATATTGATCACCCCGTATCTTTACACAGTGGTGGAATTGTTCTTGTTTACCAGCTTTCGTGGAAAATTTTCTTCAAGAGCCGGGAATAACAAAATATTGATCATTCTGTATTCTTATACAGTGGCTTATTTTGGTTAAGTCAAATTACAGTGGGTAAAATTGTTGTCTATTACCGGCTCTCGTGAAAGATTTTCTACCTTAAGAGCCAGACATAATGAAATATTGATCACCCCGTATCTTTACACAGTGGTGGAATTGTTCTCGTTTACCAGCTTTCGTGGAAAATTTCCTACAAGAGCCAGGAATAACAAAATATTGATCATTATGTATTCTTATACAGTGGCTTATTTTGGTTAAGTCAAATTACAGTGGGTAAAATTGTTGTCTATTACCGGCTCTCGTGAAAGATTTTCTACCTTAAGAGCCAGACATAATGAAATATTGATCACCCCGTATCTTTACACAGTGGTGGAATTGTTCTCGTTTACCAGCTTTCGTGGAAAATTTCCTACAAGAGCCAGGAATAACAAAATATTGATCATTCTGTATTCTTATACAGTGGCTTATTTTGGTTAAGTCAAATTACAGTGGGTAAAATTGTTGTCTATTACCGGCTCTCGTGAAAGATTTTCTACCTTAAGAGCCAGACATAATGAAATATTGATCACCCCGTATCTTTACACAGTGGTGGAATTGTTCTCGTTTACCAGCTTTCGTGGAAAATTTCCTACAAGAGCCAGGAATAACAAAATATTGATCATTATGTATTCTTATACAGTGGCTTATTTTGGTTAAGTCAAATTACAGTGGGTAAAATTGTTGTCTATTACCGGCTCTCGTGAAAGATTTTCTACCTTAAGAGCCAGACATAATGAAATATTGATCACCCCGTATCTTTACACAGTGGTGGAATTGTTCTCGTTTACCAGCTTTCGTGGAAAATTTCCTACAAGAGCCAGGAATAACAAAATATTGATCATTCTGTATTCTTATACAGTGGCTTATTTTGGTTAAGTCAAATTACAGTGGGTAAAATTGTTGTCTATTACCGGCTCTCGTGAAAGATTTTCTACCTCAAGAGCCAGAGATAATGAAATATTGATCACCCCGTATCTTTACACAGTGGTGGAATTGTTCTCATTTACCAGCTTTCGTGAAAAATTTCCTACAAGAGCCGAGAATAACAAAATATTGATCATTCTGTATCTTTATACAGGGGCTTATTCTGGTTGAGTCAAGTTACAGTGGGTGAAATTGTTTTCTATTACCGGCTCTCGTAAAAGACACACAGCCATAGGTTTCGGAGCAGAAACACAGTGGTACTCCACCTATCTATCCCAATTTAGGATCCAGGTAGATTCCCAAGAACTTCACCTCAGTTGAATTGGGACTGTTATTAGTATCCCTCAGCAAAAATATCATCTTATGGGTCTTGCTCTGATTTAGCGTAAGTCTTTTGACATTGAACCAATCTTCAGATTTTGACTGAGCCACCACAGCCCCCTCCTCAACATTCTCCCTTGGAAAATGGTTATGTCATCAACAAAAAGGATGTATCTGTTGCACTCTCCATGGGTGGTAAATCATTTATGGAAATAAGAAAAAAGGGCAGGGCCTAAGGCAGAACCCTGTGGTACTCCCATATCAATTTTCCGTTCCGGCGATGACATTAAGCTGACCTTCACAATCTGGCAACGACCAGAAAGATAAAACGCTATTATCAGTGAACTTGTACCTAAGTTTGTCAAAAAGGAGACTATAGGTGACCAGGCCTTGCTCAGAGTGGTCAGGCACAGCATGCACCGTGTTCCTCCCCATCAAAAATCCTAGCAATTTGACTAAAAACGTCACTTGTGCAGCTCACCATTGAAGACCAAGTACCTTGACATAATTCGCACCCTCTGTATCGAAACTAATTTGTGTATGTGAGCTTGGAACAGCAGATAAGAGGGCAAGATGGCATCTTAGTGCGTCATTATGGAGGGGATACACCGGAGGTCAAATAATATACATATACCAGACACTATACATACAAACGTATATTAATATACAAAAATATACAAGAATCTTTTGCTATAAATACATAATCATTTCTTCAATAGTTGCGGGTTATTTTGAAAGAACCTTCTGCGCACGAAAAAGACTGCCACAAATATCACTGCCAAAAGTGCCAGGCCTGCTATTATACCTAAAACAAAACCACTTAATAAAAACCTCCTTAAATAAAGGCCTGTTTTCACAAGAGTTTGCAAACTGTGTTGTCCATATAAATATTTTCAATGCCTGAGAGGTTGCAAACTCTTGTGAAAACAGACCTTAAACCACCTTCAATTACCAGTAGAAATAGCCTTGATACTTTTAAGGCCCGGATACATCACCCTCACTTTATCACTAACAGCTTGCTGATCATCAACAGAGACTGTCAGTACTTGCACATCATACTCGGTACCTTCTTCTAGGTTTTTAACTACAACAAAACAATAACAATACAAAAACCCTCAAACAATTCAAATTATGTACTTAAGAAGCTGTTTTCAAGTGTCTCAGCAGTACCAAAATCGTAATCATCACTAGCCTTATTCCATCTAACAATGTAAGACTTGAAAAGCTCCATGCCAAAGTCAGGAGGTTGCCAAACAATCAAAAGGCCTTCATCTGAAGGTTTTGCCTCGATATTTCTTGGATAACCAATTGGAGCAGGACCTGTTAAGGTACTATATTGAAAACATTATATACTAAATTAATTATTATTGACCTGTAAATAAGTTTTTCTCGTGTTGCTCCTCAGTAGTAGTCCAAATCCGTACCGATTTGCTAAAAGGCCCATCTCCATTATCATCTTTGCACAGTACCATGAACTCGTACTCGGTACCTGGGTCTAAATTTGTAATAGTTGCCTCAAGGGCTCTGGATGTTGGTACCTGATAGGTCCTCCACTCGGTATTTTCGATTTTTTTGTACCAAATGCTGAATTCTACATTACGTTGCCTGCGCGATAACCAAGTCAAGTGGACGGAGGAAGCAGAAGAAACTGCGGTGAGATTGTATGGGGCACTAGATGGGATGTTTTCTATATTAGAAATGTTTGTATATTATAAGAGGGTAAAATATATGTTGCTGATTATTTACCAACTAAAAGTTCGGTTTCCGCTGTAACGGTTGCAGCCTTATTTGTAGCCGAACATTGGTAAATTCCTCTGTCGTCTTCTTGGATTTCGGTCAAAGTCAAGTTGCCTTCGTTTATAGAGTAGCGGCCCAATGGTAGTGAGGAGCCTTTCTAAATATTGTTGGTTTAAAATATTGGGAATATATAATTTAAAAAATGTGATACTTGCTTTATTCCAAACAATAATAGGTCTATGTCCGTTCTCACCATCCTTAGCATCACAAGGGATCTCAATACTTTCCCCCAATTTCCTCAAGTATAAATTATGAGGAGTTGAAGTGAAAATTGGGACCTTTTGCACGATGACGTACATCCCTGGCGAAGCCCCCTGAGTCCCCAGATCGTTGTAGGGGGTGCAAGTGTACAGTCCGGCATGGCTGTCGTCCACTTTGCTGAAATATAAGCTGCCATTGCGACGGTAGAACACCCCTTGTATGTTGTAAGGGTCAAACAAAAATCCATCTTTTTCCCAGCGCAGGTTGGTCAAGGGTGGGTTTGCCCTGTAATGGCAGTCAATCATTGCTGGTCTACCATAGGCCAAGTGGAGTTCTGGTGGGGCGTAAACTACTTTGGCTTTGTCTAAAACATGTTTCAAAGTCTCAAAATTAAACTACATTTGAGTTATTTGTATATGTTTCTGAATTGTACAGAAGGAACTGAGAACATTTTTCTCTAGTGCAAAAACGTCATATACCAAGGGGTAAACCACCATCCCAGAATTGGTGCAAACAATTCCTGAAAGGGGAATTTTCTACGCATAATTCCTGCAAGTTCCTCCAGATACCCCATCACAAATTCCTCCAAATACCCTACCACAAACTTCTCCAAAAACCCCACAAATTCCTCTAAATTCCCTGCGAATTTCTTCAAATTCTCACAAATTCCTTCAAACTCCTCTCAAATTTCCTACAAATGGCTCTTACAAGTGAAAAATCTTGGAAATCAACCTACAATAACTAAGTTAATTGACAATACAGGCTCACATATTTCAAAGTTTTCCTGAAAAACTAGAGAAGGGAAAATTTTGAAACTTTTTGCATGTAAAGAGGAAGGTGAAAAGCTCATTATCCCAAAATATCAAATTTTTCCAGTGGAAATCAGCAACATGAAAAATCATGGAAATCAACCTACAAAAACTGAATTAGTTGAAAATACAGTCTCACATATTTCAAAGTTTTCCTGGAAAATTTTGAAACTTTTTGCCTGTAAAGAGGAAGGTACAAAGCTCATTTTCCCAAAATTTCAAATTTTTCTAGTAGAAAATTACAACATGAGGAATCTTGGAAATATATCAACCTACAATAACTGATTTAATTGAAAATACAGTCTCACATATTTCAAAGTTTTCCTGGAAAACTAGTGAAGGGAAAATTTTGAAACTTTTTGCCTGTAAAGAGGAAGGTAAGAAGCTCATTTTCCCAAAATTTCAAATTTTTCTAGTAAAAAATTACAACATGAGGAATCTTGGAAATATATCAACCTACAATAACTGATTTAATTGAAAATACAGTCTCACATATTTCAAAGTTTTCCGGGAAAACTAGTGAAGGAAACATTTTGAAACTTTTTGCATGTAAAGAGGAAAGTGAGAAGCTCATTTTCCCAAAATTTCAAATTTTTCCAGTGGAAAATAACAACATAAGAAATCTTCGAAATCAATTAACCTACAATAACTGAATTAATTGAAAATACAGTCTTACACATTTCAAAGTTTTCCTGGAAAACTAGTGAAGGGAAAATTTTGAAACTTTTTGCATGTAAAGAGGAAGGTGAGAAGCTCATTTTCCCAAAATTTCAAATTTTTCTTTATACTTTACTATTTCTTATAATAAGAATGTGAACCTCAGTGCACTCATGACCCTACAATTTCTTTTAAATTCCTCACAAATTCTCCCAAATTCCACATAAAATTTCCCTAAATTCTCATAAATTCCGATGAGTTTCTTCAAATTCTCCACAAATTGCTCTAAATTTCCCACAAATTCCTCTAAACTCCCCACATTTTTTGTGGTTTGCCCCTTGTCATTTACATACTAACATTGAACATTCAAAAAAGCCCTAGCTTTCTGCACATCGCCCACATTGTTGCTAGCCTCGCATTCGTACTCCCCATAATCTCCCATATCTGTAGGACGTATAACCAAGCTACCATCTTTTTCTACCTAAAAAAAAACCCATTGTATAATGGAAATTCCTTGTATATATCCTATTCTCGATCAAAGGTACAGGTAAATGTATCACCTTTCCTTATCAAATAGCATTGAAGGGTGATAAATTTTCCCTGTACCTTTGTCTACAGATTGTAAATAAATATTATATACAAACCCATGAACGTCTGGACAAATCCTGGTAGGCACTCAAAGGTATCCCGTCCTTGGACCACCTCAATTGAATCAAAGTAATATCCTTTACAACACAGACAAACTTAGCCTCATCTCCTTCCTGCAACGTCTGGTTAATTGGAGGTATTGCTAACAAATTCCCACCACTGACAGTCAAATGGAACCAAGTTCCATTATTCCTATAAGCTGGGGTTCTGGTGGGAAACATGATTTTGCACTCGTACCATCCTGCGTCCGATTCTCTAATTGAGGTGAGATTAATGGAGGCTCTGCCATAGTGTTGGTTGGGCGAGTGGTAGAGCGAGTCGTTGAGCAAGTGGATGCGGCTCACGTAGTCTTCGGATTCGGATGTTTGGCCATCGTGCCAGGAATAAACGATTTTGTCCTTTTGAATTAAATGTTTAGTTAAGCTGTGTTCCAACCAGTAATTTACAGTTGTCCACCTATTTTTCAATAAGTTCTAGAACGGTTCTCATATGTCGGTTGGAACAGAGCTTTTTAGTTATTTGATACACTTGACTGCGGCACGTTACATAAATATCCAATTGAATTGAAATTAGATACTTTTAAAATCTAATTAATTATGGTTTATTTGATATTTACCGCACCCATTTGAATGGGATTTACATGGTTCCTAAATTGAATAAACAACTTGTTGGGTTTAATTAAGGCCTGGTTATAAGTCTCTTTTGATCATTACCGACTCTTGATTTCACCACTGTATTGTACTCTGTAATCTGGCTCAACAAAAATAAACCACTGTATAAAGATACAGAGTGATCGATATTTTATTATTGCCGGCTCTTGTAGGAAATTTTCCACGAATGCTGGTAAACGATGTGTGTAAAGATACGGGGTGATCAATATTTTATTATCTCTGGCTCTTAAAGTAGAAAATCTTTCACGAGAGCCGGTAATAGACAACAATTTTACACACTGCAACAAAAATAAGCCATTGTATAAAGATACAGATTGATTAATAGTTTATTATTCCCGGAAATCTTTTACGAAAGCTGGCAATCGAAATGGATAACAATTTCACCACTGTGCAAAGTAAAGATACAGGGTGATTAATATACTTTGTTACAAAACCTTTCACATTGGAAAGAAGTACTGTAGACGTTGCAGGAGGGGCTGTGTAACCAAAACTCTTACGAATGTTCAAAGAAATACATATTAAGAATAGAACATATACAAGGAGGTCCAGAAAGAACATACATGTGACATTTAGAGGGGGGTTATTCAAATAAGAATTCCCAGGGATGTTTGGATGGATAAGGGATTTACAACGAAAGTTCTCAGGATGTTCAAAAAGTACCTACATTTCTAGATTAGTTGTTAGAGGATGCTTTCAGGATTTCGGTTAAGACTATATGGGATTTCATGGGGCAAGATAATCTTTGTAGACAATCAAGAGCCGGTAATAGTTCAGTTTTGCCTAACTAAGATTTAAAAAAATATACTTACTCCTCTTTTCCAATAAAGCCTATAGGGTATAGGATACCCTTGAGGAAAATCAATTTCACAATCAAACACAATGAAATCACCTACAGCTGCCGTAAGGTACCTGGGGTAATTCTCCTCATCAAAATAGCCTCGTGCCACCCCCAGTAATAGCAAGTGCAACAGTAATTGCATATTTTCGACCGCGCAAAACGAATTAAACTAATCGGACTATAGTGCATAAGGCAAATCAAATAATTCCCACTAATAAGAAGAGTGGGGTCTTTGTTTTGCGTATTATATACTGCTTCAACTACTATATTATCTAATGTTTTGAGATGTTAGTGTATGTTAGGAGCCAATTGAATTATTTGAGTTTTTGCCTAATTTTTCCATGCATTATAGGTGGGCGTGAAATGTTAATGACATAGGTTAATTGCTTCTAATTTGGCCTAATTGTGATCAAATAAACAACACACAAAATCCTAGTGTAGGAGGTAGTAGGTAAAAGGAAAAATTTACATTCCTTCAATTGGCAAATTACGGTCAGCATCCGCCTTTTCTGGTGACTTTAATGAACCCCATCCATCAATAAAAAGACAAATTTTTATGAGATCGCAACTTTTATTTTTGTAAATTTCAAGTGTATAGATGCGTTTTTTTTTTTTCTTTTCAATTTTATTTTACAGCAAGTTACATAGTAACAACTCAATCCTTTTGATGGCTGGATCACCATCTAACGCACCAAAAGTTGTAACAAAACAAAATTTAAATAAAATTACATTATTATTGAGCTTCAAACTTATAAATAATGTATTAAATAAGGCCCATTTAGTTTAGAATATGTTTAAAAAATTATGTTATAAGTATATTGCCTGAAATCGATGAGGGATTTATACAAGGTGTCCCACGATGTGATAACTCCGGAACGCGTCATCCAATGTGGAACATACGATGACGCGTTTCGAAATTATCATCTGAGCAAAATAACTCATGGGACACCCTGTATTGATTTGATTTTTCTTAATTTTACATTTGTTTGATGCGTTCAATGTGAAACAGTTTGTCTAAATAACATCTAAAACTTAAATTTACTATGTACTAGTAAGTGCATGGAAATGATATATTTATAAAGCATATCAAAAAATGTTTTGATATACTTTACACAATTTTTTTTTTAAAACAATGTACAGGGTGGCCCGTTTATTTTGTCTCATCTCCGACAAAAATCGAAATTTGACAAAATAAATGAGCTACCCTGTACATACAATAATAGACAATTAAAATTAAATAAATTATAAAAATAAATAACTTGTACTTTTGTCAGTTGATCTTAAACAAATAATCAGTACATTGAAAATAAACTAAACCAGTGGGCTTTGTCCTGCTTGGCAAGATAAATTAATATTTACAAATTATTGCACTATATAATAATTATGGGTTTAAATCGAGGGGTAAATGTAAGAGGAATTTGGAACTTTGAGGCTTTATACCTTGATGTACACGTCGAGTTATAGAATAGACAAAGAATGAAGATTCCACCACACAGCTGGTGCGTTAGTTAAGCCAAACGGTATACTATACTAATTTTTTTTTTGACAAGTATTACATTCACATACACAATTACCCTTCGATTTTCACACAGGATAAGGCCCACTGTGAACAAAACATAAATTTTCATTAAAAAGGTACATTTTTCTTTTATAAACTACAATTTTTATAATATTGACTTCTTTCTCATTTTTTTTTTCTTCTTAAAATGGTATTTATAATACAACCAGTCCTCACATGGCATTGTTTTATTTTTATTTATTTTTTTTTTTGAAAAAATTAAAGCTACTTACTTATTATAGTATTTTTTGTATTTATAAATAAATAATAAGCTTTTTTTCGTAAATTATAAACCGTGTTTTCTATAATGTAAGTGCGGTGTCACACTATACGGTTTTATCGGTGCGGCAAGAAGGAATAATATGCGTTTTGACCGGATGAATTTTACTTGTCACACGGTAGTGATATATAGTATCATGACGATTGTGTGTGCTCTAGAACAGGGGCGGATACAGAGGCCTTTTGAAAAGAGGGGGCAGTTTAAGTTAAAGTAAGCCAGATTGGGTTAGTTTTGGCAGCGCATTGTGCAAGATACGGTTTTTGGAAGGAATGGCCCATAAAAATATGAGAATGGGGGCAACTATTTAGGAGAATAAGGTGATTTTAAATAGGTAGGTACAAATGTGACAAGTTATTCAAGAACAAACGAGTGGATTGTTGCGGAATTTATGGGTGGACCTCTGCGGGACGAGCGCAGCGAGTTCCGCAGCCATCTATTTATCAATATGTTGTTTAATTACGATACTAACCTGACTCACTCAAATGTGAGTTATTCTCATTAGTTTACAAAGTACACGTTTCAGGTGAATGTCTTCTTGAATAGTTCAACAGTATATTGGTGAGTAGATGGCTGGTCCACCCATAAGTTCTGCAATAATCCACTTATTTGTACTTAAATAATAACTTATTATATAAAGTCAAAATTTGTAAGATTATGATTTTTCACTTTTTGTCAATTTGCCTATTAACAGGAATTAGCAATGTTACTTTACCAAACTAGTAATATATTGTAACAAGTTATTCAACTACAAACGAGTGAATTGTTGCGGAACTTATAGGTGGACCTCTGCGGGACGAGCGCAGCGAGTTCCGCAGCCATCTATTCATCAATATGTTATGTAATTACGATATTAACCTGACTCACTCAAATGTGAGTTATTCTCATTAGTTTACAAAGTACACGTTTCAGGTGAATGTCTTCTTGAATAGTTCAACAGTATATTGGTAAGTAGATGGCTGCGGAACTCGCTGCGCTCGTCCCGCAGAGGTCCACCCATAAGTTCTGCAATAATCCACTTATTTGTACTTGAATAATAACTTATTATATAAAGTCAAAATTTGTAAGATTATGATTTTTCACTTTTTGTCAATTTGCCTATTAACAGGAATTAGCAATGTTACTTTACCAAACTAGTAATATATTGTAACAAGTTATTCAACTACAAACGAGTGAATTGTTGCGGAACTTATAGGTGGATCTCTGCGGGACGAGCGCAGCGAGTTCCGCAGCCATCTATTCATCAATATGTTATGTAATTACGATATTAACCTGACTCACTCAAATGTGAGTTATTCTCATTAGTTTACAAAGTACACGTTTCAGATGAATGTCTTCTTGAATAGTTCAACAGTATATTGGTGAGTAGATGGCTGCGGAACTCGCTGCGCTCGTCCCGCAGAGGTCCACCCATAAGTTCTGCAATAATCCACTTATTTGTACTTGAACAATAACTTATTATATAAAGTCAAAATTTGTAAGATTATGATTTTTCACTTTTTGTCAATTTGCCTATTAACAGGAATTAGCAATGTTACTTTACCAAACTAGTAATATATTGTAACAAGTTATTCAACTACAAACGAGTGAATTGTTGCGGAACTTATAGGTGGACTTCTGCGGGACGAGCGCAGCGAGTTCCGCAGCCATCTATTCATCAATATGTTGTTTAATTACGATACTAACCTGACTCACTCAAATGTGAGTTATTCTCATTAGTTTACAAAGTACACGTTTCAGGTGAATGTCTTCTTGAATAGTTCAACAGTATATTGGTGAGTAGATGGCTGCGGAACTCGCTGCGCTCGTCCCGCAGAGGTCCACCCATAAGTTCTGCAATAATCCACTTATTTGTACTTGAACAATAACTTATTATTATATAAAGTCAAAATTTGTAAGATTATGATTTTTCACTTTTTGTCAATTTGCCTATTAACAGGAATTAGCAATGTTACTTTACCAAACTAGTAATATATTGTAACAAGTTATTCAACTACAAACGAGTGAATTGTTGCGGAACTTATAGATGGACCTCTGCGGGACGAGCGCAGCGAGTTCCGCAGCCATCTATTTATCAATATGTTGTTTAATTACGATACTAACCTGACTCACTCAAATGTGAGTTATTCTCATTAGTTTACAAAGTACACGTTTCAGGTGAATGTCTTCTTGAATAGTTCAACAGTATATTGGTGAGTAGATGGCTGCGGAACTCGCTGCGCTCGTCCCGCAGAGGTCCACCTATAAGTTCTGCAATAATCCACTTATTTGTACTTAAATAATAACTTATTATATAAAGTCAAAATTTGTAAGATTATGATTTTTCACTTTTTGTCAATTTGCCTATTAACAGGAATTAGCAATGTTACTTTACCAAACTAGTAATATATTGTAACAAGTTATTCAACTACAAACGAGTGAATTGTTGCGGAACTTATAGGTGGACCTCTGCGGGACGAGCGCAGCGAGTTCCGCAGCCATCTATTCATCAATATGTTTTTTAATTACGATACTAAACTGACTCACTTAAATGTGAGCTATTCTCATTACATAGTTTAAAAATTACACGTTTCAGGTAAATTCTTACTTGAACATTTCAACAGTATATTGGTTAGTAGATGGCTGCGGAACTCGCTGCGCTCGTCCCGCAGAGGTCCACCTATAAGTTCTGCAATAATCTACTTATTTGTACTTTTGAACAATAATTTATTATATAAAGTCAGAATTCGTAAGATTATCCATAAGAAAAATCTGACAACATTATTTCAATCAATCCCGCGCCTCCACGACAAAAATATGTTAATCTGGGATACTCAGTAATACGAGCCCGAAGGGCCGGAGTTATACGCGACAGCGGATAATTTGGAGCCAATCTGTGCTGTTAGGCATTTGCTTTATATTAGTCTTTTAGAATTGACATTCACCTGGAGGGTTTTTAATAGTTAAGGTGAAATTTTGTGGCAACTGGAGGAGCCCTATTGTATGTGTTAACAAGGCCGATCCTGTACGTCTTTGTTGTAAGTACACCAAATTAAACGAAAGCGTTTTGCGGTCACATTATCCTCTTCCAAAAATAGAACATTTATAACGCCATATGGAGGTTTTTTCTTTAAAAGGGTCCCTTTTGGAACCCCGTGTGCGCCTGAGTATTTCACAATGAATTTTGTTAAAATTTTAGCAGGTATTGAAGGATGTGTAACACATATGGATGATATCTTGATTCATGCGAGCACTCTGGAAAAGGCATGATGAAATTTTAAATAAAGTTTTGACTAAGCTTCATAAGGAAGGTGAAAGGAAAATGTCACATAGCTGCAAGAACTGTAAAATACTTTGGCCATGTGATATCGGAAAATGGAATTTTGATTGACCC